AATGCCTGAAAGTAAACACAGGAATGTAAAAAAAAAAAAAAAAAGAAAAGAAAAAAGTCAGGGAGTGACATGTGCTATGAAGACAATTTAAGAGGGTAAGGGATAGAGAGTGACTGAGGCTGAGATGAAGGTGGGAACCACCTTAGAGAAAGGTAAAGAAGCCTTTTGGAGAAAGTCTCGTTTAGACAGACCAATGAAAGAAGTGAGCGATGAAGCCATGGGAAGATCTGACCGGCATGCATTCTAGGCTAGGGGATCTGCAAATGCAAAATAGTTCAGCCTTCATCATGTAAATAATAATCTTTACTTCCCTGGGAATTCATAGTAACTTTTAGATGTTCATTGATCAGACATAGTATTCTTCTTTTATAAGCATAAGGTTTATATATATTCTATTTTGAACCTAGAATATTAATATCTAATAAAGATTTGCACAGTATTTTCTAATAACAATGGTTAGAATTAGGACTAGATGGATTAATAATGTGTTTAAACCCTCCTATTCTGAGGACTTTGTGTCAAGTAGCCTAAATGAAATTCAATAATTTACTAATATGGAGATAAAATAAAAAGGCTATAGGACGGGAAATATTGCTCCCAAACGTGCTTACGCAATTCCCTGAATGGCGAATGGTAATTTTAATTAGATTTTTCCACAGAGTTGCCTCTACACAGCGTTTTCTTTTCCTCTTCAGAGTGAAAACAGAGTGTTAGCATCATAATTAAGATAGAATTATAAATGGAACTCAGTTATTTTCATTCGACAAATCTTTTGGGTGTATCCTCTAAGTCAGGAGGTCTCAGCCGAACTTTTGCAACACGCAGATAGTGAGCTGACACTCTAGATATTCATTTACTAATAACAACTAAAACGTTCATATTTGCAAATTGTTTAGTTTTAAAAAAGGAATTATTAATACTAGGAAGAGTAATTCTCTAACAGTATCTCTGGCATTCGTTGCGATGCCAGTTGCTTATCTGATTGGAAAGACAGATCAGAATCTGCTGATACAGCTCTTCTGAGCAATAGTTACTGACACGTCATAGCCGTACTGATAAAAACTTTTTCGATACTTTCTTTCTCCACAATTTGGGGGTACATTCTTTAAAATTTGGACATGTGATGGGAATGTGTTTTTCATGTGAACATCATCTGTCATTTGTGTCATGAGAAAAATAAGCTGAGAACTGCTCCTCTGTATTATACTGCAAATACCTATTAAGCTAAAATGCTGGAAAGAAGTGTGTGTGTGTTTTTTAAATACACCTATTATTTATTCGTATTTGGGCCACAGTAAATAATCCATGGCACATTTGTAGAAGTAACTATAACTGATTTTATCTCCCAATCAATCCATGATATACATTGAGTGGTTTTGCATTGATGAGTTTCTCTAATATTGGTTTAGGAAGATTTTTAGTGACTTCATTACAAAATAAATGAGATTTCTGATTTTCTAATAAAGATGATATTTATCAACAAGTAGAGTATTTATTTCCTAATCTCCATTTCTATTAAGTTCTTATTTTAATAATACATTCTTTTCATGTTTCTCTTATCTTTGGGGGAAAAAAATCTACCCTTTTATATGAGAATGAATAATTCATCAATTTTTTCCCAGTTTGTCTTAAAAAGTTGTAGTCCAAAATTAATGTTTGGTATAAAGAGAAATCTTAACAGAGATATTATTACAAACCAATTCATGAAAATCACTAGGCAATAACTTATTAGTCAATTCAAGTGTAGAAATTGGTATAGGCAACAGGTGAAAGAGAAAGATGTAGGTCATAATTAATAGTAACTAAAATAGTTTTGCTTTCCTTCAGGCTTGAGGTAGATTTTTAAAAAATTAATAAAATTTATTTTTTAGAATGGTTTTTAAGCTTACAGAAAAACTGAGCAGAGAGTTCCATATCTCCCCCTGCCCACTTTTGCCTATTATTAACATCTTGCATCATTGTGGTACATTTGTTACAATTAATGAGCCAATATTGTATATTATTATTAACTAAAGTCCATAGTTTTCACTAGAGTTCAATTTGCTTTGTTCTGTAAACGACTATTGTCATGTGTCCACTATTACAACATAGAACAGTATAGGAGGTAAGTTTCACTGCCATAAAAATCCCCTGTGCTCCAACTATTCATTACTCCCCCACTTCCCTTTGGAACTCCTGTTCTTTTTATTGTCTCCATTGTTTTGCTTTTCCCAAAATGCCATACAGTTGGAATTGTACAGTATATAGCCTTTTCAAATGGCTTCTTTCACTTAGCAGTATTCATTTAAGGTTCCTCCATGTTTTTCCATGGCTTGATAGATCATTTCTTTTTAGCACTAAAGAGTGTTCCATTGTATGATGTACCACAATTTATTTATCTATTCACTATTGAAGGACACTTTGGTTGCTTTCAATTTTTGGCAATTATGAATAAACATTCATGTGTAGGTTTCAGCGCGAACATAAGTCTTCAACTCTTTTGAGTAAACACCTAGGAGCATGATTGCTAGACTATGTTTTGCTTGGTGAGAAACTGTCAATCTGCCTTCCAAAGTAGCTGTACCATTTTGCATTCCCATAAAATGAATGAGAATTCCAGTTGCTCCACATTCTTGTCAGCACTTGGTGTCATCAGTGTTTTGGATTTTAGCCATACTAATAGGTGCATGATGGTATTTCATTGTTGTTTTAATTTGTTATTTCCTAATGACAAATGATGTTGAATAATATCTTTTCACATGCGTGCTCAATTGCTATATGATGATATTCTTTAATGAGTTGTCTGTTCAGATCTTTTGCCGAGTTTTCAATTGGGCTATTTGTTTTCTTACCATTGAGTTTTAAATGTTCTTTGCATATTTTGGATACAAGTCCTTTATCAAATATATGTTTCTCAAATATTTTCTCCCAGTCTATAGCTTGTATTTTCATTCTTTTAGCAGTGTCTTTTGCAGAGAAAGACATAGTTTTGCTCTTCCTCAGGTTTAAGGTAGTTTTAGTTTATTATTGTTAGATGACTTGCTATAATAAATCAAAGTACAGCTTTCTCCTTAGTTATTCATTTACTTCACTTCTAAAAAATTAAGTTTAAATAAGACTCTCAATAATACATAATGTATATTGTGGATTTTATAAAATTTTTAATGATAAATATGGATAAAATATTTATATATTGCCTTTATTTTTTAACATTATTTTGAAACTTCTAATAAAAATGATAAAAAACATAAAATCAGATTATTAAATTTTCTGTAATCTAAGAGTAAGCACTATAGCACCTTTTGAAATATAAGAGCAAGATGAATTTCAGACTGCACTGTGATTTTCATGAGAATTTGCTGCGTTTTTTGCTTGTTGACCTTTTATACCAGAATTTAAAGTATATCACTATCCTTCAAATTAACCTAAAAGAATTCATATGAGGAAGACACACATAGTAGAATAGTTGAATATTCCAGCGGATATGTAATGACTTACAGATTTTAGATGAGTAAGCCAAAATCTAGGAAATAAAGTAATTTATCCATGGCCACTTTGGTCATTAATGGCAAAGCTGGGACATGTATCCCACTTTTTAATTCCAGTTTAGCATCCATTTCACTCTCCAAACTGCCTATGGTACCCTTTCTCCCCCAGTATAGATAAAAATGAACTTACTGACCTGATCGTATAAAAGGTTCCACACAGAAAGAAAAATGAGTGAGTCTAAGGTTTGATTTTCATGAAGTTAAAACTTCTTTCTCATTATTCATAAGTAACAGTAAAGAAATATTTTTTATTGTTAGATAATAGTATTTTCTGAATATTGGAATAGTTTTATTCAGCCTAAAATAATTTTAGAACTTAAGAAAATCAGATGTTTTGTAGCAACAGGGCTGATAATTAATATACCATACACTGAATATATACCATGAAAAATTTAAATACAGATTGCTCTGGTTTAAAAAGATAGTCAATGAACTAAAATTATCTGCTCCAACAAATTCTTGAGGTCAGATTCTAAAATATGGCAATATTTTGATATTGCAAATTATTCTGACCAGAATAATTTATAGATTTTTTTGTAAATTATTCTAACCTGTCATGGTTAGAAATAAAATGTATATTTTATAATACGGCTGTGATGACTGCAATTTCCATGTAAGACAGGAAATATACAACAAACAGCAGAATAAAATTCAATTAATTCCAAGACTAGTATGCCATCTTTAAGAAAGTTTAAATAACTCTTTCCTATGTTCCTATTCTAGAAATTTTATTTTCCAAATGATTGTGAATTCCCCAAAAGCCATAACATTACCTTTCATCCTTTTGGCCCATGACACTGTAGGTGTCTAATAAATGATTGCTGAGTGATTGAGGGAACACCATTAAACATTACTGAATATTGCAAATGACAATATGCCAAAGGTTCTCCAGTTTATCATCTGTAAATGTGATATCATTCTTTTGCTATTGGATTTCTTTTCTCCTGCAGATTTAACCGTCCTCTCAGAAGATGACATGAATTTAACATAACGATTTTATAAAAGTACAATAGGAAAGGTCCTCATTCAGTTACTTTAATGTAAAGCACATTTGTGGGCATGGTATTTTAAAGCTATTATTTTAATTTACTATATCAGAATTGATAATAACGATGTTATATATTTTTATGTTAAATGTGATTATAGAATATACTTTAAGTTTCTCACGTTTTGATTTTTCCAGTGAAAAAATTTTTTGTTCTACCAATGCCTATATCGATTTCAATGTTTACAAAAATTTAGTCTGAAAGTAAAATCACCTCATATTGTTTTGACATGAGAAACAATTCAGTGCAAACAAAGAAGGTGGAGAAATACTTGCTATGTAAGAAAATGTCGAGAACCTCTTGTCAGAACAATTGTCATTCTGTGATTTCAGGGTCTGTGCACCTCTGGAAGTGGGAGTGGGGTTAACAAGACAGACCCCAGACGTTTAGTGCAGCAGTGGAGAGGGGAAACCAACGCTCTGTGAACATGAGCCTCAAATCCCCAACGACTGCCCTTCCGTTTGACACCAAAAGCAGCCATATTATGGCTAGAAATGGAAGTTGTTTTCTAGTCAGGCACACCCCTCATCCCAGAAGGGTCTGCCACATCAAAGGTAAGGTGACTCGGGGTCCTAGAGTGTGTCTCTCTTCTCTACATGTGGGCAACTTGATGATTCTGGTGGGTAAACACAAGGGTACTATTCAAAGTATTTAATCACTGCTGGGGCACAGGCTTTGACTATTGAGACCAGACACCAGCACTGGAGCTAGAGCTAGGCACCCCCTCTGCCAGGCGTTCATGCTTGGATTACTCGATTGTTAGGAAAAGGGCCTGGAGAGGTGCCAAAGAGGCCACTCAGAGAACTCAGGGCAGCAAATGACCTAATGGTATGAAAGTATTTCAATATTTCAACAACCTGCACAGTAATACTAAATCTACATGCTAAATATTAGCCCTGGAGAAGCATATATTTTATCCACCCTCCCTTTCTCTTTCCTTTCTTTCTTTTCTTTATCTCCTTTCCTTTCACCCTCTCTTCCTCTCTCCCTTCTTTTCTTCCTAATTTCCTTTCTTTCTTCATCTCTTCCTCCTTCCATCTTTCCCTCTTTCCTTCCTTCCTTCCCTCTCTTTCATATTTTTAAATTTAGTTTCTGTAACAACATATATTCCTAGGTTTTTTTTTTTGCCCTACCTCTGTGGTTTCTCCCTCCCAGATTTTATTTTTGCTGAGTCTGCAGTAAATGCTGAGGTCTTCACAGCTCAGTCCTTGGCCATGTTCACCCTTTAGTCAACTGGGACCCTAGTCACAAATCTCAAATACTCTCTATAGGGCAAATATTTTCAAATGTGTATCTTAGACTCAGTCTCCTCTTTGAAAATTTAGACCTCTATATTCTACTGTCTACTTGACCTATATGTGAGGCATTGGATGCTTCATGGGCACCTTGAATTATGTTATTTGAAACTGAGCTCTTAATCTTTCTTGAAACTAGTCTATCCTAACTAGTAAATAGTACGATAAATTTGGTGCTTTTCTTTAACTCCTCCCTCTTCTTCCTTTCCCTTTCAGTATTTCATTCGATCTTGTCAATTTTTTTCTTCTATTTTGTAAATTAAGCTACTTCTCTCCATGGCCACTGTTACAGCTCCTTTCCAGGTCACTATTATCTCTTGCTATGAGGACTACTTTTGCAGTTTGTAGACTCCTAACTGCTCTACTTCCACCCTTACCCTCATCTAATCTATTTTCCATAGAACAGCCAGAAAGATCACATTAAAATGTAAACTTAACTGTTTAAATATCCTACCTAAAACCCTTCAGAGGCTTCCCATGCACTTGGGATAACACTGTTTATGTTGACATAGGCTAAAATGTTCTCTATGATGTGGCCTCTGCCTCCTATGACTCATCTCATAACAATACCCTCCCAGCCTCTCATTATATATATCCCACACTGGTCTTTTCTAAGTTCCTAGAACGTGAAAATTAACTTATGGATTTTCATTCATACTGTTTAGGCATAGAGCCCTTTCCCTCATTATTTGCTGTTCTTCATTTTTTGGGTGTTAGTATAAATATTACTTAAAAGAGACATTCCAGGCTCGACACCTTCAATCTAAATTAGATTTCTTTATGGAATATTCTCATAGTGCCCTATATTTTCTGTTAGAACATTTGTCTTAGATCAGGTTCTCTGGAAATAGAACTGGGAAGGAGATTTGCATGAAGGAAATTTATTGGGGAGTGCTCTTGGGAACAACAAGTATAAGGCAAGGGAAGCAGGGTTAGGTAAAGGTTGAACTGTGATGCAGATACAATAGAGGCCTCAGTCAGTCCCACAGGGATCAGTGGATGGCTCTGGAGAGGTGTCTCAACTGGAGGCAAAGGGGTCAAGCCTTTGTAACTCCATCAACCACTCATCGCTCAAGCTCCCCTTGTGCATGGGAGCTCCCTTCAGCTGAGTGCAATTCTCAGAAAGGGACTCAGCATGAGCCATCAGTAGCTGACACACCTGGCAGGTGGCAGATGGCTGCTTTGGTCCTGAAGGCATAATCTAGGTACGTGGTAGGTACATCACAGCATCCACTACAGCAATTATTGTAGCTTATGACTAAATATTTTTTATTAGATTAATATCAAGTATCTTCCACTAAACTGTGAGCTCCTTGGACGTAGGAGGTGTATTTGTTTTGCTCACTACTCATTTTGATTTCCCAAGGAGTGGCTGCCACAGGGGAGGTGCCAAATTCTTGTGGAAGGAAAGAATGGAGTTTAAATTACATCCAGATAAAAATGTAGAGCCACTGACAGATTTTAAATAGGATTTACATTCTACCTCAGCCATCTAGTAGTTGTGTGTCTTTGTGCAAGTAATTTCATTCAAAAAATCATTTTTATCTGTATCGTAGAAAGTGGAAGAGAAGCAAGCCTCACTGGCGGTTGTGGAATCGGTTAAAAGACTTGATTCAGTCATCCAAGTGAGAAGGGATGAGGGGGATGGGCCAGGACAGAGAGAAGAGCAGACCGAAATATGGGGTAGAGCAAGAGGAAAGCCCAGATGAGCAGCACAGAGAGAACAAGCGGAGGGTTGTGAGATAAACAAGATTCAAGGAGAATAGCTGACTGAGTGACGATCAAAGACAAATTCTTAAAGGAGACGAGAAAAATGAAGGCCAAAGGAAAGCAAACAGATGTTAAAATAAAGAAGTCACAAATGGCCTATTGCCTTGGCAAAATCTAAGGACAGAAATTTTCAAAACCCACATGAGACAAACATTGCATTTTAGTTAGAACTTTTTTTTTTTCCTATGAAGGCAAATACTACTAAGATGAGAATACTTTTTTTCTGACTTCAAATACTTGAAAGTACTTGACATATACCTCTTCTATATTTTATTTTTTATTTTTATTTCACTTTTTCCCTTGAATTATAGCTATAATGCAATATAAAACTGTTCACAGGCAAAGGACTGACTTCGATGTCTTCAAATCCCCTACAGTGCCTGTCACAAGCCTCACTCATAGTAATATATGTTCACATAGAAATATGTTCAAATGAATAGAAAAGTTTCTTAGGAAATCTTTCAAGGATATACCTGCTAATTCTAGAAAGCTTGGTAACTGGAATTGAAATGAAAAAGAGAAGAGAAGCCAGCTGCTTTATTTTGACTATTAACAGCTATGTTAAAAGTCAACACGTGCTTTGAACCTATACTCAGCATAAGGACACTACAAATAGTTTCAATGGTTTTTTCCCCCAAAATCATTCTAATAATTCATTTTACCAACATCCAAATGTTCACTAAGGAGGTGTCAGGAATGCATTTCACAGAAATTTTGAATGAGAAATATGCATGATAAATATTAAGAATAAGCAGAACTTGGACATTTATTGGATTTAGAGGCTGGGAATGATGAAAAAGAGTAAGAAGTCTAGAATTACTATTAGGTTTTTAGGTGGCTGACTGGGTGGATAGTGCACCAACCAATTAGTCTTAAGCATACACAGGAGGATGGGAGATAAGATGATAAGCTTCGTTTCAAACATGTTGTACTTGGTGTGCTGATAGAAAAATTCAGGAGGAAATGGCCAAGTAGGTAAATAGATATAAAGATTTGGAGCCTATGGATTGGATGGGGCTATAAAATAGGTTTGGAAAATCAGGAACATATAGATTAAAGAAACCCCAACAGAACTCTGTAAAACACCAGGGATGGACAGACACAGAGAACTCAATGAGAAACAGATAAGAAATGGCAGAGATGCTTAGTTGCAACCAGAAAAATGTTGTCTCTGAAAATGGAGAGAAATAATTTTAAAGAAAGTGGTAACAGTATATGGAGTCATTCATAGAAAGATCAACGCATATATAAGATAACATTTTCCACTTAATTTACAAACTAGTGATCTCAACAAACTCCATTACATAGATTAGGAAAACCCTGAATTTATAGACATGATTATATTAAAATCTTACATTTACTGAGCAGAGGTTTTCAAGCGGTATTCCTAAGAGTTCTGGATATCCAGGTAGGAGACAAAGGTGGAATAAAATGTGTTTGAACAAAGGGTACAGTAGCCAAAGAAGTTTGAGTATCATTACTGTGTAGTTCAAAGCATATTTAGTCATGAGATTAAATGAGGCTTTTCTTATTTCAGAATTTTTGTTAAAGCTAAATTGTGAGATCATCTATGCATGACTTGCTAAGAGGTGGAAACAAAAAGCAAAAACAAAAACAAAACTGGCTCTGCCTTGGTAGCCATTGCCTACCTCCAGGCTCCTCTCTTACTTTAGAGAAGAGTAAAGGTTCATAGAAAGAAAATAGTGAGGATTTCTTTGAATAGAGTCATTGAGGTGCTGTGTACTTCCCCTCCATGCCAGTAAGTAGTAGCTGCCTTCACCTATACCTGCAAAGCTTTCTGGAGAACATCATATAGAGAACGAGGTATCACTGAGATCTCACTGGCTAGTTAGATGCTCGCCTCTGCTCTACTACCTTTCTGCAGTGTAATATGGGGAGGCTATTCTTGGGGTGAGCTTGTCCTTTGTCTTTTAGGCTATGGAGGAAATAGAGAATAGTGTCTGACTCTCTAAAATCTAAAGACAAGAGCTGGCTGAAACTGCCTGTGTCGGTGGCACAAAGACTAGAATTGTTTTCCCACAGAAAACTGGACAAGGGGTTTTGTTTCCTGGGAGCTAAAGTGGACACTCAGGAGGCAGCTGGCCTAGAATTGTCTTGAAAGGACCCAGCCCAAGAGGATTAACTGCTATAACAAAACAACTCCAGCCAAAAGAGGCTGGATGACATTTCTCTTGGGGTCAAGAGGAGAAGGAAGAGATGTTAGTGACTCTCTGGTAGGCACATTATCCATGACAGTGAACAGGGTCAGAGAGCTCCTCAGCTAGGGCTCTCCAAAGAACCCACGAAAGTACCTCATGAGAGGAAAAGTGAGCATTTCTTTTCTGTCTCACAGATGCCTCAACACTAAATTAAAACACCGTTAAGCAAATAAGACTTTGTGTCCCCTTTACCACTCTTCTATCCTTCACACCAACTCTGGAAGAGCTAGAAGCAGTGAGTGGAGGAGGAAGGGTGAAAGAGCAAGGTGAGGGGAAGACAGACCACACGCCCTTCCTTCCTTGTTGGTCTATAGAAGCTGGGTCAGCATTGGCCTGGGGTAGAGAATAGAAATGGAATACTAATACTTTTATAGCACTAACTATGCTAATATTAAGTATTTGGTATTCTTGATGGAAGATTTTGTACACAAAGATTATTTGCAATTATTTATCTTTAAATTAATTTTTAAATTAAGAATGCCAATACTTTTTGTTTTAACTTTTAAAATTTAATTTATAAATTTTATTATTTGATGTATAAATCTAGTAAATTTTAGCAAGCAAGGGAATCTTTGATTAATATTTGGTCCCATTAAACTTAGTTAATAAATGCCCTAAAAACTTTAAATGTCAATTACTCATTAAATATATTTAATTTCTTTTTAAATCTTTTACATCCTTAACAAGCAAATACTCACCAAGCTGTAAACAACTCCTGTAAATTAAATAAATTAAACTTATAAATATAGACAAATATATTATTTAAAATCTTTCTTTATTGTTACCAACTTAATATTTTTATACTTTTCTATTTAAAACCAGAAATGTAAAATCATTTTCTTATATAGATTTTAAGCTATAAATGTAAAGTTAATTTGTTAGATAGTCTAATATGCCAAATTAGCTTAAATGTTATATATATTTAAAGACACACATGCAATGGTTTTACTAAACTTAACCCATGAATAAGAATAGTATACATTTTTCTTATTACCAATTCTATCTTTAATTGGAAACCTTCCCAATGTTAAAGGACACTCATCAAGGAAAGAGACCAATTATACTGGACCAAAAACAAAATTAGACTTACTTTTTTATCAAACCAAAGTTACATATCAAAGAATTAGGCAGGGATGTGAGATTTGAATCTTTACTTGGCACTCTCCCACAAGGTGAGCCCTTGTTTATAATCACTATGGCACAGAAACTTGATGCCTTATAGGAAGAGCTTGTCTTTCTTGGGCCCATGATTCCACGACGTAATTCTCCTGTATATTCAAGGAAGTTAACAAAACACCCACCAAGATTGTCGCTAACCTCCTTCACTGCTGGACTAACTTTAAATCGGTTAATATTGTCCCATTTGACTCTGAAACCGCATAAATGCCATTCCATTTGACCTTTCACAGATTTTTATATAATTGTTTTCCTAAGTCTTGGATAGATATAATCTGAATTTTTCTTACTACTTATGTTCAGATGTATAGATGATATAGATAGATATAGATATACATATAGACATAGATATAGATGATATAGAGATATAGAGATATAGAGATGATATAGATCCATTTATATATTAAAAGGTGTGAATGAATAAAGAAAATAAAGCTGAAAAAAAAGTAGAGATGGAGGGAAAAAAGCCCTCCAACACACACAGACACACACAGACACAGACACAGACAGAGACACACACACACCTTTTACTAATTAAAGGAAGTAGCAGAGAAAATAGAGATTTTTCCATTTATTTGTCTCTGTGTTATGTTTTATATAATTCATTTGATAAGCAATTTTTCACGAAACACCTGGGCCAATCACTAACCTGACTGTTTAAGATAAAGTGATAAGATGTGGTACTGTCTTTAAAATTTTATTTTCATTTCTATTTGGAACCAGTTACTATCAGTAAAGTTCAAAGTATTAGAGTAAATAAAAGCTTTATATTTGGCTATGTAAATTGGCTATGTTATTCATTCGTTTAACAATCGTAGAGTACCTTCTTTGTGCCAAGCACTAGTCCAGATATGTGAATAGAGCAACAAATGAAACAGACAAATCCATGCTTTCATGAAGTTTATGTTCTAGGGCAGCTCAGCTCAGCTCAGCAATGTGCACATATATGACAGGAGACAAATGCTTTAGGAAGAATAAAAGAGCATAAGGGGACAGAGTGTGATGGAGTGTATTTCAGCAAAGACCTTTTGGATGTGATTTGATCAGATAAATGAGAGGAGCATGGACCAGTGGTACAAGAGGGAAATTAGGAAGAATGGGCAACTATGAAAAACACTCTTGAGAAGCTTCCTGGGCCACTTCTTACAAAACAAAGCAGTCATCTATTATATTATTATATTGCTCATTAACATAGAGCAATGTCCTGCCCATTTCCTAAGCCATCCAATTTGACATGACATATTATTGAAGTTAAAAGGACAACCTGTCTATAAATCAATATTTTAGCCAAAAGCAAATAGCCATTATAGGAAAGGGAATGAACCCAGAAGGCTCCGACATGAGAAAGGAGATTCTTCTGTACTGCATTTTTCCTTCCTTCCTTCCTTCCTTCCTTCCTTCCTTCCTTCCTTCCCTCCTTCCTTCCTTCCTTCCTTCCTTCCTTCTATTCCTAGCTCCAACAGCTTTTTACCTTCTGCCAGTACAAAAGAAGAGTACCTCTTTTAAAAGACCTTGCTACACTGAGACTTCTTGAATGCTTTCAAAAATCTCAATCTGATATTCATGAAGAGGACCAACATAATCTCCTCTTCATAATCAAAACTTAGGAAGTGAGAGGTCAGTGTGGGATAGAGGCAGGTCTATTCCACTTGACTCTCAGACCAAGATCAAAGGTGTGGGCCTGATCTCAAGGCTAACAGATGGCAGAACATTTTAAGGAAGCATGTATTGCCAAATATAATTTGCTACACTGACTTTCAAAGACTAGCCCTGGTTCGTACAATTTGAAGTCTGACACCTTATGTGTATTTAACGACATCTGGTTGGGTGAGAAATTGCTGATCATTCAAAGAAAACCTGCCCCAAATCTAATCTCGTGTTTGGTCTTTTTATCCTTACTCACCTAGGTTTGAATAACATTCCGATCTGTACTGTGAACGATGATGAGAACTCACTGGGAACATTGTGCGGTGTTGGCCAGTTCAACCACTTAGAGAAGGATGAAGTACCATTTGCCAAATGCAGTCAACCACCCACCACTGCACCCCTGGAGAGCACAGTCAGAGGAGTCTCACCAGCCCCAAACAGTGTCAAAGTGCCCCCATCACGGCCTCATTCTGGTGAGTCCCTCTCAATTGAAGAAATCTTTCCTGAGGCCTACTGCAAACTATCAAGGGTGGGGGTGGGGGGTGGGGAGCGGATCTATATAATTGTTAATATAGCTGTGGTTTTTTTAAAACAGTCATGAAATTTTCTCACTGTGAAATAGGTTATTCATTATAAAAAATTTTTCACTTATCTAATCTCAATTCAGTAGTTCAAAAATAATGATTATTATTAATTAATTAATTGTGTCCAAGACATATTTGGTGTGGTTCTAGTCTCCAGTCCCTACAAAAATACCTAAGACATACCAAAAATGAATGTTTGGCCAACATTGATAGGGAAAATACTTCAGACAAAAAATGAGCCTGGGAAACCCAATAGGGATGGAATTGCATGTTTACATATCCCCACTGGATGGTCAACTGTTAAAGTTAGGGTTCTGTGTTCTTGCCGTTCTTGGTATCTCTCCAGGTTCTAGCATAATGCCTGGTCTTTAGTAAACAATTTAATTCATTTATTAATGTTTTCTGAAGTAAAATAAAGAGGGATTAAAAAAATATAGCATAATGGCTATAGTTATTATGTATTGTGTATTTGAAAATTGAGTGTGGATCTTAAAATTTCTCATCATAAGAAAAAAATTTGTAACTGTGAGATTATGGATGTTAACTAAATTTATTGTGATAATCATTTCACAATATATACATATATCGAATCATGTCATACATCTTAAACTAATACAAAAAAGCACAGTATGACAAAATGTAAAAATCAAGGTAAAAAAGAAAGAATTCTGGATGTTAGAAATTATATCCAGTTCTCTTTCTCCTACCCTGTACAATTCTATGATGTTACTAAAAGTTTCAGAGCATATGAAAATTATTTTGGCATAATATGGTAAAATGTATGTTATTCAAAAGGTAACAATAAGAGGGATCATTAATAGAGTACTTACTCCATGATCCCATTCTAAGGTCTTCTCATTTGGTAATTCTTCGCCTTCTAGAGAGTTCCTCTTCTTTCCTTTCCACTAGCAATGAAGAATCAAAGACCTCTTATTCCACCTTCCTTCTGGTGTGTCTTATATTGTGAAATGTTGAAACTTAAAAATTACATTTGCAGGAGTCCCTTGATGGGAATTAGCTGTTGGCATCTGGTAAACTTTATATCACAGATGTGGGACTAAAGTCATCTTTTTGGTTGATGTCTGCTATCATAACTGGAGACATGAGGTGTTTGTTGCTATAACATCCCAGTGTTCAAATTCTGGATTTACAGGTGTCATAAAGCAAAGTCAGCAGATATGGTGGCTTTCTGATTGCAGTCGCAATCCAGTACCTAATTTTTAGCCTCATGGATGTTATGACAGCAAATTGTAGTGGCAATGACCTCCTGACTCCCCTTCCTCCCGATTGTGATAAAGACTGTGCCCCACTTGGTGGGCCAGGTGCAAGGTGTTGTTCTTGAAATGATTTGTGAAGGATCAAGACCAGAGCTCACTGCTCCGGCCCTTCCAAAGATGCTACAAAACAACTAATTCCCTGTATCATTTACATTTTCGCTTAAAATAGCTAGAGAGGTTTCTGTTTGCCACAAGAAGACACTAACAATAGACTCACACCTATTAACTTTGTTCTCCCTACTCTAAGTAATGAATTCAATTATCGTGTATATATGCAAAATCTTTTTATCTTTAAAAGAAATTGTTAACTATGGCTTCAGTAAAAAAGATAGCATCGCTTACACAGAATATACCTTTAAATTAATGCAAAAGAAAATTAAGCAAATGTTTAAGTGGTTTTAGGTAATTTAGAGAGATTTAGTTAGATGACTATATGAAGTAGGTGGGGTTAAGAGACTGATGAAACAGGAAATAAAATAATGTAATAATAATGCAGCACACCACTTCACTTTCTGTCTACAAGAAAAAGATCACACGTATGCACTGTCTTTAATTAGAGAAAGTGAAAGTTATACGGGTAGGAAACAGAGAAAAACATTTCTGACACTGAAATATGTACTTTTAAAAATCAGTTTACCTAGACCAAGAAGCTGTTGCAGTATTTCTTTATTTCATCTTCCCAGGCATGGAATTAGTTTTGTATTATAAATATGCTTTTATTATGTTATTATAGAATAATTCTACCTGCAGATTTTCTAATGTTTATAAACAGGTCCTCAGTTGCCCTTAATTAAAATTCAGGTGTACTCTCATCTATTTCAGCAACTGATGCTGTATATGGCAAGTGATAGATTTTTTTTTTGTTTCATCTAAATATATTTTTCCTCAATATCATTTCAGAGCCCTGTAGAAAAATCAAGGAGTGCTTCAAAACTTCCAGTGAGAATCCCTTGGTAATTAAAAAGGTAAAAAAAAAACTATTTACACCTACCTACTTTGACTTCTATCATTCCCTCTCTTTTTCTTCACAAAATTTTCTGCAAAACCAATGTTTTTTACAGCTTTATTTAAGTATAATTAACATAATATAATGTGCACATATTTAAAGTGCATGATTTGATGAGCTTTGACAAATGTATATCCACACCTGGGAATCTACCACTGAAACAAGAGCATTAAACATATCCATCACTCTCAAAAGTTTTCTAATGCCCCTGGCCCCACTATGGGCAAAAATTTATCTGCTGTCATTAAAGATCTGGCATGTAATTTTTAGGATTTTTATATAATGAAATCATATGCTGTGTGGGTTTTTTTTTTTACTGTTTTCTTTAACTCAGCATAAATACTTTAAGATTCATCCATGTTGTTATATGCCTAGATAGTTCATTCCTTCTTATTGCTGAGGAGTATTCAATTGTGTGGGTACCCCACAATTTGTTTATCCATTTACCTGTTGTTGAACATTTAGCCTGTTTCCAATTTTTTACAAAGGTGATATGAACATTTGTGTACAAATCATTGTGTAAATATACATTTTCTTTTCTCTTGGGTAAATACCTACGAGTGGAATGGCTGGATTTTATAGTAGGTGTATTTTAAGAAACTGCCAAAGTGTTTTTCATTTTACATTCGTGCCAGCAGTGTGTAAGACTTTCATTTCTTCCACATCTTTAGTATGGTATTTTTATTTTCATCAATGGGTGTGTGGTGTGTAATGGTATCTCATTATAGTTTTAATTTGCATTTCCCTAATGACTAATGAGGCTGACATGTTTTCATATTAATTGCCAACTACATATCTTTTTATAGAAAGTGTGTGTTTAAATCTTTTGCCAACTTTTAAAATTGGGTTGTTTGTCTTGTTATTATAAAGTAAAAGTTCTTTTTATTTTCTAGGTATAAATATTTTGTCACATACACATTTTGCAAATATTTTCTTTTAGTCTGAGGCTTACTTCTTTTTCTAACTGTATCTTTTGAAGAAGCAAAATTTATAATTTTGATGAAGCCCAAATTTTTAATTTTTCTATTATAGTTTCAATGAATATGCTGTTTATCTATCTATTGTGCCTTATTGCAATGCCTAGAAGTTCTAGTGCAATGTTGAGTGGAACTGATGAGAGCATACATCCTTACCTCACCCAAATCATAGGGGGGAAGTATTCAGACTTTCACCACTAAGCATGATATTAGTTTACTGTATTCATAAACGCCCTTATCCAGCTAAGGAAGTCCCTTTCCATTCCTAGTGTTCTGAGAGTTTCTTTTTTAAATCAGAAATGAGGGTTGGATTTTGCTAGATGCTTTTTCCGCATCTATTTGAGATGGTCATATTATTTTTCCCTTTTAGCCTGTTTAAAAGGTAAATTACATTGATTAACTCTCAAATGTTAAACTAAACTTGCATTCCTGGGAAACACCCCACCTGGTAGTGATATGTTATCCCTTCCATATATTAAATTGTTTAGCATTCTTGTATCTACATTCATAAGGAATATTTTCAGTTAATTTGTAATGTCTTTTCTGATTTTAGTATTAGCATAATACTGGCTTTGTAGAATACGTTGGGAACTCCTCTTTAATATTCTGAGAGATTTTATGTAGAATTAGTATTATCTGTTCCTTAAAAACTTAACAATTCTTCAGCAAATCCACTGAAGCTGGAGTTTGCTTTGAGTCAAGATTTTTAACTATAAATTCAATTTCTTGTTTTCATAGATGTAGACTATGCAGTTTACCTATTCTTTAGTGAGTTTAGGTAGTTTATGTTTTTCAAGAAATTTGTCCATTTCATCTAAGTTGCTGTATTTACTGATACAAAGTCATTCATAAAATATCCTTTTAAGGATTTTATGATCTATAGAAATGTTCTCTGATGCAACTAGCTAGAGATTTAAGAGTTTTATTGATCTTCTTAAAGAATCAGCTTTTCATTTAATTGATTATCTCCTTTGTTTGTTTTGTTTCTATTTCATTGATTTTGGCTTGTATCTATAAAAAATGAGAGCTTAGGTCATTGATTTGAGACATTTTTCCTTTCTAATAAAAGCACATATTATTATAATTTTTTTCTATAAACACTGTTATGGCTGCATCTCAAAAACTTTATGTTGAGTTTTCATTTTCATTCTGTTCAAAATACTTCCTAATTTTCTTTTTAATTTCTTCTTTGACCCATGAGTTACTTAAAATTTTGTTATTTACTTTTCAAATATTTTAAAGATATTAAAGGTTTTAATATATCACATAAATGTGATTTTAAAGATATCCCATAAATATGCTTGATTTCCAATTTAATTCCATTGTGGTCAGAGAACGTACCTTTTTTAAAAATCTTAAATCCCACGATCATTGTTGATTATAAAGGTACTCTAATCTTCATGATGGCTTATCAATAGGATTTCCGGTAGTAAGCACCAGCATCAGGGATTCTGAGATTTTTAAATTCACAGTGATGGGGATCAGGTAACAACGAGGTCTAGTCATACTGGATGAGAATGTCTTTGAACTTTGGAGTTGAACTGGTAGGTTGCATAAATCTGGGCCATATGACCACCATCCTTCACATGGACATGGATGCCTACACGAGCTAATCAATTCTGTCCAAAATACTTTGAAATTTTTTAAATTTATTAAGATTTGTTATATGGCTCAGAATATGGTTGACCTTGACAAATTTTCTGTATGCCCATGAAAAAAAAGTTCAGTCCAATGTTATCGGGTAGAATGTAATATAAGTATCAATTGAGTCAAGTTCATTGATACTGTCATTCAAGTCTTCTATGACGATACTGATTTGCTCTCTATCTATCAATTATTGAGAGGGAGGTGTTGAAATTTCTGACTATAATTGTGGAGTTTTATATTTCTTTTTTTTTTTCTATCAGTTTTTAATCATGTCGCTTGAAGCTTTCTTATTAGCAGTATAACTTGTTAGGTTTATTATATCCTCTTGATGAAATGACCCTTCAATGACTGTAAAATTATTATCTTCCACCCTGACAATATTCTTTGATTTGAAATTTATTTTGTTATAGAATTGTTTAGGTTTTCTATTTCTACTTGAATTGATTTTGGTTAACACATTCTTTTTCTAAAAATTATTTATTTTGGATAAATATTCAAATTTATTGACAATGTTATATATCATATCTTCATAGTCTTTTAAAATATCTCAGGATCTCTAAGATGTACCCTTTTATATATCAGTCTTGTTAATTTGTGTCTTTTTCTTGATCAGTTTCAAAAGAAGTTTACCAACTTTATTAGTATATCGAAGAACTAATTTTTCCTTTTTTTATCCTCTATGTTGTATATTTTTTATTTTGTTGATTTCCGTTATCTCTTTCCTTTCATACACTTTATTTAATTGTTCTTGTAGGTTCTTTTATCTTTCTAATATATGTATATATTAAAGCTATGAATTCTCCTCTGAGGATTGCTTTAGCTGCTTTCATAATTTTTGCTACATAACATTTTCATTAGTATTAAGTTAAATTTTTTTCTAATTTGCATTATAATTTTTCTTGACTCACAGCTCAGTTGCTGGATATTGTATATGACAAAGATATTTGTGGGAATCTGAAGCCCATGGTAAATAGATTTTCTTCCAGAAGAATTTGTGCTTGCTTCTATAGGAAGCCAGAGGCCCTACCAGCCTAGATCAATTTAAACTGAGTTCAAACCTTGACCACAGGCTATATTTCTTCAAGGACTGTTACATTTCTAGGTCACCTTTGCCTTGAGAATATAGCCGTGGGTGGCTCTTATCTGGGTCCTTAACTTTGAGTCTAGTTTTTTAAGACTTTTAAGTTAAAAAGAGAGTTCTCATTTTCTAGAGTCAGACAATGACTTCAGGGTAAAAATGGCTACTGTACTGGATACACCTCAGGCTTTTCACTTCCCCTTCACTTTTGACCTATTAATTCCTATATTATTCACTCCTTGATAGTGGGTTTAAAAAAAAAATTTAACCTGCTTTTTTAGTTGTATTCAGTGGGAGGGTTAAAGCAAAAAAAAAAAAAAAAAAATGTATATTACTATTTCCCAAAACTGGAAGTCTACATAATAAACTTTAACAAAAGAATGCACCCAAATAAAACATAGCTTTTATTATTCTGTCAATTCCAATAATCACAGTCCCCGATTATTGACACACTCAGCCACTAGCTTCCGTGTGTCTTTATATACCACTCACTTCTGAAGGTTAAAAAGCTTTTCTTGGAATAAGCACACAGATCTATAACTCTTCTTAGACTTAAAGGTACTACAAACTTTTTTAAAAAATTGCAGTGTATTTACCTCCCAGAACAAGAAAATAGACTTTCTATTTCCTCTTCCAACTAATCAAGGGAAGTAATTTAGTTTACCTCTTTAATTCCCCAGCTCTCAGCTGACATTTAGCAGAGCAAGGAAGCAGCAGTTCACACCATATAGTCTTTTATCAGACACAGCATAAAACCTCTTGGCTTTCCTTTTTCGGTCATAAAAGAAATATCTTCCCAACTCAACAGAAATCTCATGTGTCATACGTTGGCTGTTACCTGAAACAGGAATATAAATAAAAATTACACATTAAACATTTAAAATTTATTATCTTGATGTTCAACAAAGGTTTAAAATGTTTTCACAAAAAAGTAATATATTACCATTTGTTCTATCTCCAAATGCCAATATTTGAAAATTAAATAATTAAAGGAGGAGTAAAATTAACCTCTTTTTACTTTTATGTATGTCTCTCATTTAGCTACAACATTTCTCATTCGTTTTAATTTTTATGTAAAATATAAGTGGATGCAAATGCATACTGATTATATTGTATCTTTGATTTAGGAAGAAATTAAGGTAAAAAATCCACCCTCACCACCAAAGGCATGCTCTACAGCTGGCTCTGATACTTCAGAGGTGATGAGTACCAAGACTAATGTCAAAGAGAACACCATATGCATACCAAACTACCTGGATCAGGAAATCAAAGTAAGAGGCAGGTTTATTTAATCCATAACTTGGGAACAGCATGAACAAACAAAAATATTATATCACTTATCATCTTTAAAACTCTTTGGTCCCCCTTGACAACTGAATTGATTTAAAACTACTTAGCCTGAAATCCAAAGCCTGCTCTTCTTTTCATTTGCAGTCTTACTTCTCCCTGGAAACCTGTCACTCTTAAAGAAACACAACCTTTGGTTTAGACATAATGAAAAGCTTAGCATTTGCCAGACAACCTTGGCCCTATTCTTCCCATGTCTTTCTTTATCATCTTCTTAATGCTTAAGAGGCACTATCCCCAGCTTCTAATCATTACCTATATATTTCTTTCACATATTTTAAAGAGATTCTTCCAATCAACAGAAATTACTCCAATCAACATTCACCTCCCTCTCTTATCTATGGAAAACTGTTTCCTTAAAACTTTACCTGGAGTTATAAACTTAGTTGTATTAATAGTAATGAGCCATATCAGACTACTGGACAATTCTCTCCAGCCACAGTTATTTCTGAAAATGACATACAATCAAGAATAAATCAATCAGCTGATATTTGTCATCTGCCATTCTTTGTTCTCTTTCTTTAGATCCTTTTGGTAATTTCCACCTTGCCTCACTATAAGACCCATTACAATAACTTAAGGGTCAAAATATTGTAATGATGACTCTGATAGAAGTGTTAAATAAGTATCTGTAGTAGCAATTGCAAATAACAGGGCATGTTGTAAAGGTTGTTATTGAATAATTCTAATAAGGAACTATTTTTAATGTAAAGGATAACTGTCATTGAGTATAACAATTTATGCTGGTAATTAAAATTGGGAAGGAGAATATAAGCAAAATGAGGACAAGTATAGAGAATATCTACAGACAGGACTTGTGCTTATACATGATTTCCTGATGATTCTGGCTAAAGACTTTATGTTACACAGAGTCTTCAGAATCACTGTCCACCTCTGGTGCCACCAATCTTTCTCTATAATTCGCTCCCTCCCTCCTTAAGGGCTTTCCCCTATGAAGAAGTCTCTTCTCTTTGATTTTTCCAGTGGTCATTTTCTTCTCAGTAAGGTCTCAGTTTAAATATCACTTACTCAGAAGTACTTTCTTTGACCACCCAATCTGAAATAGTTATCCAGTCACTCTCTATCTCATTACTACCCTCTTTTTTTTGCATAGCACATGCCATATCTGATATGTTCATCTTCATTATTTTTTGCAATATTATCTCTGCCTCCCCGCCCCACTTAAACTAAAATTTAAGTCTTTTAAGATTTTAAACTTGTCTGTCTTGGTTATTGCTTTATTTTCAGAGTCTAGATAAGTGCTAGGCATCTAGTAATTATTAAATAAGTATTTATCAAATGTAGAATACATAAATTAAAAAATAAAAGTTTTACCAAGATCAAAGTAAAACTATAGAAAATCATCTAACCACACAGGCCCTCTCAACTCAACCAAGCTGAGTACAGTTTTAGTAAGGCTGTCTTGCTCCCTCGGGTACATCAATAGACCAGCATGATTCTATAGAACTGGTCTTGTGGGGCATCTATTAAAGAGCCCTCCTGTCAAAAACATCTTAACACATTACAGATATTGACTTAACTGGACATCAGTTGATATAAAATCCACTCAAATGTAAACTCTTTGAAAGAGGGAATCTTGTCTATCTTGTTCACAACTGATTCCTCAGCACTCATCACTTTGCTTGAAAAATATTAACTGAAACACACAGCATGGCATTTTACCAAATAATTATTGACTAATTTGTTGAATAAATGAAAGCAGAGGGAGTAAAGTGAGAAAATAGGTCTTATTAAAAATTTTTGGCATGTATAAATGAGTCCTAAAAGTAGAGCCCATCTCGGTGATATTCTATCCTTCCATGCCTTCTACAACAGAAAAAAAATATTCTGAATTATCTTCAAATTTCCTACTATCTAAGCTGGTAACTCTGAATGTTTGTGCAGGGGTATGTATGAAAAATTATGGTTTCACAATTATTACTCTAAGGAAAATAGAATTCCATGTCTGTTATGATCTTGTTTTTAGCCCTTCTCCCAAATACCTTGAATTTATAGAAATAATAGTCTCATTATTGTTGACACCAAAGTCTGCCAAACACATTCATTTGCTCTATAAGTATTTAATGTAAAATTAAAAATACTATATTTTGGAGATACAGTTGGTTCCTTCATTCACAAAGTTTATGAGGAGGATTGTACAGGTGTGTTAGATCATATAGGAAGAGATTTTGGAGTTAAGAAATTCTTCGAAGAGAAAGAAACCTAAATAATGTTTAAGATATAACTAGAAGATAAAGAGAAACATAGAGAAAGATCATTCTAAGACAAAAGAACTTCTATCTAAAGGTTAAGAGGTGAGAGCATAGTTTATTTAAGGAGCTAAAAGCAATAAATAATGGCTATTGCAGAGAGTTCAGGGAGAACATTGGAAGAAATGGGGCTGGAGACTAAGCAGAAATCTGATAATGAAGTACTTTATAAGCCATATTGAGGCATTCATATTTCATCTCAAGGGCTGTGGAAAATCAACAAGAAATTTTAAGTAGTGAATTATATAGAATTACTTTGTAGGTACAAGAATTATGTGGTCAAAGTTGTACTTTCAAAAAATTACTCGAGATACAATATGCAAAATTAATTGGGAGTAGGAAGCAAAATTGCGGGCAAGGTACTCTGCTTCCAAAATGATAGATTAGGTTCAAGACTTAGCCTCCTAGTGTAAACAACTATATAACTGGGGAAATTTTATAAAGAAAGTGACTGTTTTCAGGCAGTTTTGGGCAACAGACTATACAAATATATGACTACTGAGAGAAGGAAAATAATTGGGAAGGTTTCCACATTTCTGTCTAAGACACTTTCCTAATCATGGCACAGAAAACTGGAGTCCAAAAAGAGTAATAGTTTCGCTAAGTAGGGAAAGCAATTCAGATTTGGGGATGCTGAGGTGGCTAGAATTTGTGAATTAAGATTTTGAAGAAGAGGGATCTGTGGAGAGAATGAGCTCCAAAAATCTGTATAGGGTTCCATGAATCTTTAGTTCATAATAAACTGAGACATGGCAGAAAGAAGCTAATGGAAGGTAGCACATTGCTTAGAGATGCTGTACTTCTGTTCTGCCAGAGTAAAGAGACCTTGCTGAACACACCAGGAATTCAGTTGAGACCCTAGAAAAGTCATACCTTAAAAAAAAGTAGGGTACTCCAGCCCCACAGTAGGAGATACCGTAGACCTACACTCTCAAATCCTAAAATCAAGTTTCAACAGATCAAACTCACCTGCCAATATATTCACTACCTTCTAGAACAAAACTCAGTGAAGAAAAAGCAGGAGGCTTCCGAGGAGAAGATATTCTACTTCCTCTGACTGCAAGGATAATTATATTCTCTCAAAGTTGATCAATAGGCGATCTATGAATTATAAGAAGCTGAGAGTAATGTGCAATCACCATATTGATGAAAATACCATTAGAGGCAGAGTGGCCTAGAGAATATCATAGAGTTCTTTTTTCTGTTTTTGCCATGGCCATTGATTTCTTGTGAAATTAAGAGCAAATTTAACTTGCTGTCTTCAGGATATGGCATTACTGAGAACAAAAATATTAATAATATAATAAGTACAATATAAGGGAGTGCATTTTTCTGCCCTTTATTTCAATTCTATATTTCTAGCATCCAGATCAATGAAAGATACAAATATTTGTTGAATTAATGGTATTTTAAGAAAAGATTTCAGGCAGTGAGGCTAGGAAAAACGTTGTTGTAGTAGCTCAAGGAAGAATTGATGATGGTTTTGACTGGATCGAGAGTGTGCCAATAAAGAAAAATAGATTTAAAAAATATTTAGAAAGAAGAATTTACTGAACTTGTTGTTTGGTGATATGTCTTAGAAAAGGGAAGGGAGTTGTCCAGGATGAATCCCAGGGTCTGGCTTGGACATACATTCAATGTATGCTTGTGCTATCCACTGAGACAGGGGAACCAGAAGGAACAGCAAGTTTGGTACAGGTTTTAGGAAGAGAAAAATGAGCTTTTAGTTTTAGATATTTGGGGTTCAAAGTAACTATAGTGTATCTAAGTGGATACATCTGCTAGGCAGATTGGATATGCAGGACTGAAGTTCAAGAGACAGGTATGAATTTCAGATATGTCTGAAGTCCAACAGCAGACACAGTATAAGGTCAAACTAGAAACATCATTACTTGTGCTTAAGACTTTGTACTTTAATGCTTATTATAGTCCATTTTTATTAGAATTAATTACTTCACATATTTATCTCCTCTATCATCCACACTTTAGCCCTTAGCTCCAGATAAAAATTGTCAAAGAAGGATTCTGACTGGCAAAAGGGAACTATATTCCTATTTTATTGGGCAATTGCTGTGTTCAGGTAACTGAGAAACAATGATGAATCCAGCTAGGTCCACCCACTATAGAGAGGAGCAGTACAGATGGAGGCAGTACTGTGACTAAAAAATCCCCATTAGAACCTCGCGGTACAAAGGGGAAGGATCAATTTCCCGAGAGAAGAAAAAATAATGGCTCCTCCAGATGCTATTTGTACTGAACAGACAAAACAAGGGAAACACCACATTGCCTAACCTAAACTATGACTACTTGTACTAGAGATGTTTTTTAAAGATTCCACTGGCTCCCAAGCTAAAATCCCAATTGATTTAATTGAGCATTGTATACAGAGTGACATTTGGGAAGATGAGATTGTAGAGAAAGTAAAGGGATCTTTGTAAGTCTTGTATGATTTATTTGCTCACTGTGTAATTCTAATATTCTCTATCAGATTTTGGCAAAGCTTTGTAACATTTTACGTACTGATTCTCTGGCAGAAGTTCTACAGTGGCTGCTTCATGCAAGTTCAAAAGGTAAGATTAAAATAACCATTTGCGAACACTGAGCTAATTTATTGTCAGAAACTAGGAATGTGCCAATATCTGAAGAAATTAGAATTTACCTTGTATTAACGAATATATATTTCAGTGTTATTTCCCTAGTGTTTCACTGTCAGAATCTTTGTAGTCCTGTATATCCAACTGCATGCAAGCTGACTCAATGACCCCAAATTTGGTATGCCCCATATTGAACTTCTCTGGATGATGTGAAACACTCATGTCCAGCGCTGGTTTGTGCTTCTTCTAAGTCCATACACCCAGGGCTCCCCTGAGCATATCCTCCAGCCTACTGTGAACCCTGAACACAGAGCCTGCTTCTTCTTTCAGTATGGAAGGCAGTAGCACAGCCTTCCAAGTTCCAGATTCTAACAGATTTGCCAATTCTTCTAGCAAAACCATCAATTCAGCCATCTCTCAGCCTTCTTTAGACCCTTTCTGGCCTGTTCCATGAAAATGCATGCCAATCTTACCTAGAACAACCACAAACAGCACAGAGCAACTATGGTCAAACCTAACTGGTCATCAGTCTGACTGAGACAAAACTTCTGAGGTGGGCGGGACCTGAGAATTTACAATTCTAATAAGTTCCCAGGTGATGGTAATAATACTGGTCTGAGGACCACTCCTTGAGAATCATTGCACTCGTCAACGTTAGGAAATACCAATGTGTTAGTGACAGTCTAATGTTTTTAAATGAGAGCATTTTGGAAATAGTGCCTAACCCTAGGAATTCAAAATTACTTGGCAGGCAATGGAGAAGTATTTGGGGATAAGGAGTCTTTAGTTATTCTCTATTTTTTTCCTTGTTAAGAATGTAACTTTTAAAAAATCACACAAGTAATAAGTGCTTATTGTTGGGGGAAAAATAGATGAACCAGGAAAAAAAAAAGAACAATAATCAATAAAATTATCACAGACATGATTTCAGTGAATACCTTGGTGTATATCTTTCTAGATATGTTTGTAACTATTTATTATTTAACTGTCACTGTATTTTAATGAATATTTATTGTTTTGTATAGGTATCTTTTTTTTTTTTTCCATTTGGCAGTGGCCTTTTGTACTCAATATTTGAAAACTATTCCACTGTCATTCTGGGACAAGTACCCCAGTGAGTTAACTATCCTGGACACTCTACAGTATCACAGGTGGACAGAAACTGCATTGTTGAGAACTGACTTTTCTGCAGAAACCTTGACTCACGCATAGGTCCCTATCCGCAAAACTGCCTTTCACACTAGAGTACTGAATAAAACAACTAATTCAGTGTTTCTAGCCAACATGATAATTACAACCTTCCTCCATTCCCCCCACCCACCCTTTTTAAATCAGAAAAAGAGTGGGTCTCAGCTTTGATTCATGCTGAACTGGCTGAGATAAACTTGTTGACTCGTCTCCGAAGAAACATCTCAGCAGAACCAGCAGCAGTGGCTGGGAAGCCACCCAGGGCTAAACTGCCTCCAAATTCACCTCTAAAATCAAAAGTGCTGACCAGATCTGGGGAAGGATATCAACTGACCAGGTAATTAGACATAATGGCCACCTAGAGGGTATGTGGCATACAAAGACTGAATTCTCTTTTCATTATCTTTCCAAACACTAAACATGCTGAAGTTTCAAGTCTCCTCATTATTCAATAAATGACAACAATTTGTATTTGTTTTCTTTCATTTTCATAAACGTAATGAGAATCGTTCTAAATCCTATTGTTCAGAGCTTTTCACAGGTGCTATGCCTTTCTAGCCCAACAACCTTTCTTTTTAAGGGCAAAGCAAGTGTAGCCAACTAGAAATCTAAGATGTCATTTTTTTTTTTAGTTTACCTAAAAATAAAAGCTATAAAACCAAAATTGTATCATTATTATATATTTTGATAAATGCATATCATACAGGTATCATTTTTCTGTGCATAGAGTAATGCGAGATTAAAATAAATTGCTTCACTTAATTATCTTTGACATACTCCTGCCAGAGGGAAAAATAACTATTAAGGGAATTGGAAATTGTTTCAGTAGAAATTCTTCCTTCACCTTATAATTTCAATGATAGGATAAAATATATATTTACGTATAACATCTTGGTGAAAGAATGTGGTAAGATGTTATTTAAGCTGGTAAAGAAAACTTTGTCGCTTTAAAATTAAGTTGAGTAAAGCTTAAATTCAGAGAAAATAAATATTCAAAACACATAATTATGTCATTTAAAGAAAACATTAAAACGAGGAGGATTTTGTAGTATTGCAATTTGTCTCTACCTTAAATTAGAAACCATAAAATTAGAACTAGGAGATAGTTAAGGTCAGTCTCTCTACCTTAGTGAGAAATATATGAAGTACTATTTAGCTATTTACTCAGTCATAAGAATTTTTTATCAGAAACTACATTTATTTTTTTTGGGGGGGGGGAACTACACTTAATACTGTATGCTTTGAAAAACAAAGAATTGGAATAGCACATTTAAGATACATATATATTTAGCTTATGTGATGATAATGCAATTAGAAAATACTTGTTTGTATTTGTGAATTTCATTTTCTCTTTCTCCAATTAATATAGAGTGTCAAGTCCAGGATCTGAAGGAAATAAGGAAGTACCAAAAGGTTAAGTACAGTTTGTAATAATTATTGAGTTGGTATAAGAAAACCAGTAGGTATCTAATTAGTTAGGGACACAGATATTAAGCATCTATGGTTTTAAAAGCAGTAAAATACAACAGTGATTTCCAGCTACTCCAAGGAACAGCATCTGCTGAATTTCTAACAGAGATAAATTTGACATAAATTTAACTTTATTTTGAAAGGTAAAGTGCCTCATCGGGTATAGAATCTTTAAGAAATAAGACAGCCGGACACAGGGAATCATAGGGTTTAGTCATGTCAGTACAGTGACAGAAGCTCTGCATTAATTTAACAAAAAGACAATGGTCTCAGAGTTTTGGTTCTTCACAGCTTAACTGTCATTAAGCTAAATGATTTTCACTAGAAACAAGGTCAACCAGAGGAAACAGTAAAATGGCAATAAGCCACAAGCAATTGCCCCAGGAGACAGCTGAAGTACAATAGAAAGGAACAGTTTTGTTTCCCCACCAAAATTTTAGCCCCAGCCTACAATTTAGACCAAGAAGAATCGAGAATCAGAGGGGGAAAAAAATTTTAATCATATATTCAATTTAAAACATTTAAATAGTTAATTTTAATAAATAAATAAATAAAAGTGTGTCTTCAATACAAAAAAAAAAAAAAATCACAGAAAGTCCTACGTTGGTCTAGAATAGCCCAACTGAAACATACCCGTGTGACTGGCAATCCATAGGTTTGAAATAAGCACAGCAACAATGACTATAGAGCAATAGCTATGACATATGTCTACTAGCCTCAAACAAAAAGTCTGTCTTGTTATTTCTACAAGTTCTCTTATACCAGGAATGGTATGGTAATCAATTAGAGTTTTTTGAGGTCTCTCCAGACCCCAGAAGGTTCCATTGGGGTTAACCAACCCAAAAGACGCCCTATCTGCTAATGGGCAATAATAACTGTAATTTAGAAATTTAAAAAAATACCCCCTTACTCTGACAGTCCAAGGATGATCTATTCTATCTGACTTTTCCTACCAAACTTGTCACCCCAGAACTACCAAATCTTGACAGTGATGGTTTCTATTACTCAATTTTATCTTACTTGATGGTCCCAAATATATTTACCCTGTCTAGATATTTGGAAAACATTTTGTATAAGAATCCCCAAATCAAAACCCTTTGTCTCCAGTGCTGATATCCAGCATCTCCCCAAATCCTTATTCCTCCTTGAGGGTGACCTTTGAGAAGGCTTTATGAATACAATTAATTTGTTTTAACCTGCTTGTCTATTTTTTGTCTATCAGGACCATAGATCCTTCTCCTCACTCTCTGGTCCTAATCTTGACTTTCACCTTTACCCATCACCAGCTTCAGTACATTCCTACCAAAATGTTTGATTCTAAGATTAAAGAATGTATCTGCATGTTATAGAACACATAACTCATTAGAGATGAGCAGGCGGTAAGAAAGAAAGATGAGAATAGATTATTTTATAAATTTTGGTGTATTAGATTCACCTAAACTTCATGTAGTTTTTTGAATACCATTTGCTACTAAACCATGGCAGATATTATGTTTGATGTCTCAATTATGGTCTTATTTAGATTTTTTTCTATTTCAGAGGCTGAGCACAAGCCTCCATTATTTATAAGAAGAAATAAGATGACAATACCTGTTGCAGAGTATTTCAGCCAACCAAAGTCTCCTTCCAGGCCTAAAACTCAGGAGAGCATATCAACAAAACCAATGTCGGCAAGAAGTATACAACAAGGATACAATCTCTCTCCCCAAAGAACATTTTCTTCTCTAACATACCAAAGGTAGAAGTTCTAGACTAGGCTAATTCTTTCCTAAACACAAGCTTTACTTTGTTACAAAATCAAATTATTATTTTTTTAAAATTTGGTATCAAGGAATCGATAGCTTCTCTATGTGGTGGCACATGTAAATCTCAAAGCACCTGCATATAATGCTACCAAATAAATGTTAATAGATACAATATGTCTACTTGTAGTTAATTTTAATTCCATGTATAAAAAACATTTATATACATTTCTAATCTTGCACTATTAGTATTAATACATAAGTATAGGGCCTTGATACTAGAAAAATCATCCACAATCAGAATTAAGCAGTTATAATTAGACACCAGCCCAAAAACTCTGATAGAGGAAAAAAAGTTTTAATAGCTGAGCTTATATTCGTAATCTGTTTCAATATTGTTGGGCTATTATGAGAAAATGCTGACCTCCCTCAAAAAAGAAAAGATATAAAAATTATCCCTAACTTATGAGCCAGAAAGAAGCTAATTTCCACTCATTACTAATTGTGAATATTAACAAATTTCCTAATACTAAACATTTTTGTATTTTAAAATAAACGATTCTTTGGCCATGGCTGCTATTCTTTCAGTGTACTGCTGGATTCTGTCTACTAATTAGCCAGTCTTTCATTTAGAATTCTTGGTCAATATTCAAAAGAGACATTACAAATTGTGTGTGTTTGCATGTGTGCATGCATTCATGCCTGTGTGCCATCTTAATAATAAAATTTATATCCTACAACTAAGAATATACAGCAGAAGTCACATCAAGACTGGTAGGAGGGGAAGAGACATGTAATGGGTTGGTCCCCATACCCCGAGCATGGTATAGCCTTCCATTTATTTATATCTTTCTTCAATGCCTTATAGTTTACTGAGTACAGGTCTTTTGTCTCTTTGGTTAAAATTCTTCCTAGGTGTTTTTTTTTTTTTTGTTTTTGTGGGGGGGATGCAAATGTAAATAAGATGGTTTTCTTAATTTCCCTTTCTGATAGTTCATTATTGGTATATAAAAATGCAACTGATTTCTGAATATTAATATTTTATATTCCTACTTTACTGAATTCTTAGTTGTAATAGATGTTTGTTGGACTCTTTAGGGTTCTCTCTATATGTAGTATCATGTCATCTGCAAATAATGACAGTTATACTTCCTCCTTTCCAGTTTGAATGCCTTTTATTTCACTTTCTTGCCTGATGGCTGTAGTTAGGACTTGCAATACTATGTTGAATAGAAGTGGTGATAGTGAACATCCTTTTCTTGTTCCTGATCTTAAGGAAAGTGCTTTTAGCCTTTCCCCACTGGGTATGATATTAGCCGTAGGTTTGTCATATATGGCCTTTATTATGTTGAGATATGTTCCCTCTCTTTCCACTTTGCTGAGAGTTTTTATCATAAATGGATGCTGGATTTTATCAAATGCTTTTTCTGCATCTGTTGATATGATCAAATGATTTTAATCTTTCAATTTGTTAATATGGTGTATCACATTAATTGATTTGCAGATATTAAACCTTGCATCCCAGGAATAAATCAAACTTGACCATGGTGTATATTTTTAATGTATTGCTGAATTTGGTTTGCTGTTGAGGATTTTCTCATCAATGTTCATCAGGGATATTGGCCTATAGTTTTATTTGTACTGTCTTTGTTTGGTTTTGGAATCAGTGTAATGGTGGCTTTGTAAAAAGAGGGAGACTTCCTTCCTCTTGAAGTTTTTGGAATAGTTTGAGAAGAATAGGTGTTAATTCTTCACCTAAGAAGCCGTCTGGCCCAGGAGTTTTGTTTTTTGGAAGTTTTTTGATTACTGATTCGATTTCGTTGGTGATAATCAGTCGATTCAGATTTTCTGTTTCTTCTTGACTCAGTTTTGAGAGATTCTAGGAATGTATCCACTTCTTCCAGATTGTCCAATTTGTTGGCATATAATTGCTCATAGTATTTCTGTGGAGTCCCTAGTTACTTCTCTTTCATTTCTGGTTTTATTTATTTGGGTCCTCTCGCTTTTTTTCTTGATGAGTCTGGCTAAAGGTCTGTCAATTTTGTTTATCCTTTCAAAGAACCAGCTCTTGGTTTCATTGATCTTTTGTATTGTTTTTCTAGATTCTATTTCATTTATTTCTGTTCTGATGTGTATTATTTCCTTCTTTCTACTCACTTTGGGTTTTGTTTGCTATTCTTTTCCTAGTTCTTTTAAGTATAAGGTTAAATTGTTTATTTGAGATTTTTCTTGTTTCTTGAGGTAGGGCTGTATTACTATGAATTTCCTTCTTCGGGCTGCTTTTGCTGTGTCCCATAATTTGGAGTCGTCGTGATTACATCTTCATTTGTCTCTAAGCTCCACTGGAGTCACAGCCCGTCCTCACAACCAGTCATCTTGTGAGTCAATCCCATTCATGGGCAAACAGCAACCAAGGCTCACCTACAATAGGAAGGCAAACACGACCCACACAAGGGACACAACTGGAGCACCCAGCTCAGATGACCAAGGACACTGCACTGCTCGGGCCCCAGAGGACACCTACTATGTAAGGCCACTCTACTAAGACCAGGAGACAGATCAGCTCTACCTAATACATAGAAACAAACACAGGAAGACAGTCAAAATAGGAAGACAGACATGTCCCAAATGAAAGAACAGAACAAAGATCCTGTAAAAGAACTAAACAAAATGGAGACAAGCAATCTACCAGATGTAGAGTTCAAAACACTGTTTTTAAGACTATTCAATGATCTCAGTGAGAGCTTCAACAAAGAGATAGGAAGCATTAAAATGGAGATAGAAAACATAAAAATAGAACCAGTTAGAAATGAAGAATACGATAACTGAAATGAAGAATACATTAGAGGGAATCAATAGTAGATTAGATGAAACAGAAGTTCGAATCAGCAATTTAGAAGATTAGGTAGCAGAATACACCCAGTAAGAACAGCAATGAGAAGAAGAATCCCAGAAAATAAGGCTAGTTTAAGGGGCCCCTGAGACAACATCAACTGTATCAACATTCGCATCATAGGATTACCAGATGGAGATGAGAGAGAGCAAGAAATTGAATACCTACTTGAAGAAATAATGACTGAAAACTTCCCTAACCTGGCAAAGGAAAAAGGTATACAAGCTTGGAAAGTGTAGAGTCCCAAACAAGATGAACCCAAGGAGACCCACACCGAAGCACATTGTCATTAAAATGTTAAGGTTAAAGACAAAGAGAATCTTAAAGCAGCAAGAGAAAAACAGTTAATTACCTACAAGGGAGCTCCCATTAGACTGTCAGCTGACTTCTCAACAAAATTTTCAGGCCAGAAAGGATGGGCAGGAAATATTCAAAGTGATATTTCAGGAGGAAGAGGAGGGAAAGGGTAAGGAGAGGGAGGAGGAGGAGTTGTTTTCCAAACATATTTTTATATGATTCATTATTTAATTGCCTTGTAATCAGATGTGATCTGTAATATTGACCAATCCTTTGATTTTGAGGGTAGCATTGAGGTTTAGCATATAGTCAATTTCATAAGTGTTCCATATAACTTGAAAAGATTGTAAATTTTAAAATTGTCGGACACAATGGGGAGCACACAATGCAATATATATATGCCTTAGTGTTAAATTATACACCTAAAACTTAGGTGTATTCTTCCTACTGGAATTTGTTAACCAATGTCACCAAAAAATAAAAAATAACAATAAGTAAATTAATAAATAAAATTGTTGGACACAAAGTTGTAGATATACTCATTAGAAAAAAACTTGTGCTGTTCCAATTTTATATATATCATCTAATTTTCTCTTTTTGCTCGATTTATCAATTACAAAGCTGTACATTAAATATTTTCAATTATGGTAGATATTGTGTTGTTCTGTGGTCTTTGTAATTTTGTCCATTTTGATTTATATATTTTGTAGTGTGTAAACATAGTTTATAATTTTATAATTAATTCATGACCAACTTTATTTCTAACACTGCTTTTTACAATAGACCATCTGACATTAAATAAAAAACATTTTAGGTAGTAAGGCTTTCCTCCTGTCTTTATTTTAATAGCTTATTTTCTACCTTAAGGTATTGTTAGAGAAGGTGCATATATTACTTCTACTGTCAGACACAGAGAGTTGGCATATGGAAATCACAGATCATTTAGTGAAACATGTTTAAAAATTCAATAAAAACCAAAAGCTATCATAATAACCACACAAGACCAAATCTCTCCTATTAGCAAATACAAAGGTCTAAAAATCACTCAAATTGGATTTAAAAAAACCCAAAACCTAAATACATGCTGTATTTCAATAAAGTTACTGAGCAATGTTGAAAATAAAGAATAGAGAAAGACATTTATTGGGCTAATAAAAAGAAGATGGAAGTCACAGTTTTAATATTGGATGAGGTTCAACACATTACAATTAAACAAGGAAAAGAAGGGCATGTTGTAATGTTCAAAAATGCAATCCTTAATGAAAATCTGACAAGTATGAATATACATCAAGTAGCATAGTATTCAAGTTCATTAAGAAAAAACTTAAGGAATTAGATGAGGTAGTAAGAAATGCATTTGCATTAGGAGATTGATTCATGTTTTCCAACCTGCAGCAGCTCAAATGAACAAGGAATATATGAGATATGTAAATGTTCTAATAAGAGATGTAATTGATATATATCAAGTTCTACAAGCTGAAAGCAGTTTTCCAGTGCCCAAGGAATGTTCATGGAGGTATCTATATGTGGACTTTCCACAATGGAAAATAAATTCCAATATTTAAGAGTATTGGATAATACTCTTTCCAATAACAGTATTATCTCGATTGTCACTGGTTCCTTTCTTCACGTTTCTTAAGTGCCAACTCTCTGTGTCTGACCAGGAGCTAGGAAAACAGAGATAAACTTCCCAATGCTAATTGAGATCAAATTTTAAGGAGCATTATAGACCACTGCTGTCATTAATTCTAATCTCTGCCTTTTTTTTTTTTACAACCGTTCTCTGTACATGTTCTTGGTGTTCTATGAACAATTCTTGCCTTTTATCTGTATCATTTCAGTGATCCATTCTATGTATAAAATGAAATATCACTTTACTTCGTAATTGTCAGTAATTAGTGGGTTTCATAATGGTTCATTCATCTCCTAAAAGACATTCCTTCAGAATTGCTTCCTTTTTTCCTTTTTGCTTTTCCAATTTCCAGTATTTTCAAATGCTACAAGACTGATCTCTGAAAAACCAGTCTGAAGACTGTCCCTTTTCTTAAGAATGAGCTTCCTTTATGAAGACCATAGGTTTTTAAGGAAATAAAATGAGAGAAAACCTATTATTTCAGCAGACATATGTCCTTTTGGTGCATTCATTTAAAAACTAACTAAATTCCCTACCTATATTATGTCCCAATACATGCGGCTTTACTACTACTGAAGTTTTAAATAATAAGGCACCTCAATAAACCAAGTGTTGAGAGAAAATACATTAAGAAAATTAGTTACTTAAAAAATCAAAATTTTAAATACCTCAGAAATTTGTTATTTCTAATTGTGATCTCTCCCTTCTTGTCATTAACAGCCTAAATAAGATATGGATTTGTAGTAGATAGAATTGTGTTATCTAAAACATTCAAATCTCAGTAGCTAGTCCTTGTGAATATATTAGGAAATAGGGTCTTTGTAAATGTAATCAAGTAAAGATTACAGTGAACCCTACCTAACCCAGTGACTGGTGCCCTTATAATAGGGACACAGACACAGGCAGGGGAGACAGAGGGTTAGGTAGGCCATGTGAACAACAAAACAGAGATTGGAGTGAGGCAGCTGCAAGCCAAGGAACACCAGGGATTGCTGACAACCACCAAAAGCCAGGAAGGGGCTGGGACGGATTCTTCACCATTACCTTTGGAGGGAGCATGAGCCCACTGACCCCTTAATTCCGGGCTTTTAGCCTCCAGAACTGTAAGAAAATGAATTTCTGTTGTTTTAAGCCACACAGTTGTGGTACTTTGTTTATGGCAGTCCTAGGAAACTAATACAGGGCTTTTATAGTTAGTGAAAATTAAACTACACAGTGCCTGTATTGATTTTTACCCACCTTTCAAAATTAAACTATGCCTATTCTATCTATATGGAATAATTTAAGTAAAAGGCACAATATTTCATGCTACTAAGCCATATTAACTCGGAAAAACCTTTGAAAAATACAACTTACGACAAAAGCTTTGTTCTTCTAGAATTGTAGGGGCCTTTATTAGATTTAATATTGATGTTCACTGTCTCTTAGTTTTTGTTGCTTTATTCCTAGTAATCTATTACAGTTATCCACTTAAAGTAAGGTCTGTGAGCAAGGTATGTAAATAAACTTTCTACCAAATGTGTATGTAATTTGAGTTGCCAATGAATAAAAAGAACAGCAACTTCATTTATCCACTCAGGTAAGGCTTCTGAAGTCTTACTTTAGCTGTGACAAAGAACAACTGCTTAAACATAACTGCTCTACTTTTACTGGTAGGGAACTAAAACATCTCCTTTAAGCCTCATCTCCCCTTGTCAATGTCTTTATACAAATGTTTAGTTATGAATATTTATATTTTGTAAAATTTAAATTCCTTAGTGTAGTTCAACACAACCATTCACAGAAATAATACACATATATGGCAACTCAATTGTTTACTATTAATAACAGACTCATACATGCTGTGGACAAACATGTATATATACAATTATGTGCATATTTTCATACATCCTTATATAATTTACAGAAATATACATTTACATTAGCTTGATTATATAATAGTAGGCAGATGCACATATAAAGTTAACTTTATTCAAACAACAAATATTTTATTTAATCAAAGAAAAGATAGCTGCTGAGAGGTTTTTCATCTTAAATTTAGGTAAAGATAAAATTTATCCTTCAACAGCCTTTTAAAATAATCTAGCCTGAAAAATTAATTTTTGTAACTGAAATAATTCATTACCATTATTTGAATTAAGAAAATATAATAAAGAGATTAACTCTTCAGTGATTGCGTTAGAACCATGAAAAGGCATCACAAAGGAGGAACAGAGACAGGCTTCATAGTCCAGAGAAATTAATTAAGTTTGTCAATCCAACACTTCCTCCTGAAATCACTATATTCCTTTGAAGTCATTAAATTCGATATAAAAGTTGAAATAGAAGCTAACTTCCCATACAGAACATTTTGGTACACTTACATGTGAGTATCTACCTTTACAAATAAGTAGGCAATAAATCAGAAAGACACTGATATAAACACCATAATAAAACTAAAAGGTCAGAGGCACATTTTGAAGAATCCAATCCAAAAAATAAGAGAATGAAAGTCTACTAATAAAGTAAAATTCTCAAAAACTCTTATTTGAGGCTTAGAAAACTATTTTAAAAAAATTACACATTTAAATCTTATGCAAAAACAAAAAGTGCTTTTTTTTACAAGTGTTTTTACACTTAGCTCTAAAAAAAAAGGTTTAAAAATTCACAACAGAAATAAGGGAAAATGGAATTTTCTTCCAATTTGAATATTCTATGAAACGCCTCATTTTCTCCTATTTTGTTTTTAAACTAAAGAACAAAAACAAAAACAAGAAAACAGATGACATTAGTGTGGTATAGAGTTCACTGTAGAGTCAGTGCTATTTTCTTTGTCCTGCTTTTCTTCAGGTGGAGAATCTAGTTTATTTCTGCTATTTTCTTCCTCACTGGAATCACTGTCCAATTCACCTTCAACTCTGGCGGACTTCTTGTCATGGGAAGAAGTTTCACAGGCTTTGTCTGTGGGAATGGCTCCTTTCCGCTGGGGTAAGATAGTAAAAAATGCTTCTTGCCAGTCTCTTGTTTCCAGGTATTCCAGAATTATTTCAAACACTGAAACAAAGACAAACTCTATACATTTCTTAGCCAAGTTCATCACAATGTTGCATACTATATTTTAAAATACATTGCTTTTGTATTAAGAGTGCTAATATATCCTAATTACTTTGCTCTTATCACTTTCTTCTCCTATTGGCTGTCAGAGCCAATTTGCCCCAATGCTCTCAAGTATGTTACCTTTTCTTGAGCTTTTCTTCAATTCAGTTCTTAAGTGCTCAGAGGTTTACCATTACCTATAGCCAATTACAATCAATAGAGAATCTTTTTGTTTCCTTCCTATTCTTTATTCTTTTTATTTCTTTATCCTTTATGTGATAACATAAAACTAGGGGGAAAAAAAAGGTTGGGATTAATCTAAATTTCTTCTATCTTTTCTATAAAGAGCCACTCACTCTAGGGAGCTCCTTGCCTTTTTTTTTTTTTCCCCCCACATTAGAGGTAAAAGAATATTAACACTGTCTCCAAAGTACTCACACGTTAATATATTGCTGCAGGGTTAATCTGGACTGCTTTATGAAAAAGCAATTTCCACTATCTATGAAAGGTCTTAGAAATTCAATCCTTGAATCAGCAAGATCATTTCTATAACTCTCTGAGCCTGCTATAGAGAAAGTGCTTAGCACATAAGAGACCAATGAACAGTTGTGTACTAACAAAAATCTCTATTAAAAAAAATTTTTTAAAGCAAAACTTCAGGCAAATACTTAGCATCCAAGAATGTCTATTACAATGTTATTTACAACAGAAAAAAAATGAACAGGAGAATGGTTACATTTTTTATATTCAGATAATGGAACATAGTCACTAACAATTATTCAATGATAGAGAAAAATATAATTATAAATGAGGGGAAACACCCCAGATTTCTAATATTTTATGCAATAGAGTAAGAATCCAATAAATACCATATATGTATAAGAAAAGAACTGTAAAGAAACACATCAAAAAGTTGATACCAAGTATCTTTAGTGAAATTATAGCTTATTTATTTTTCTTTATACTTCTCTGCATTTTCAAAAATTTTTAAATATGCGTGTTATTTCTGTATTCAAACAAATTATAAGTGATTATATTTTATAATTTTGTCTCCAACAACGTGTATATTTTCTATTTGTCCAAAATGTAAATATAATGTTATTTTTCACAGTGTTGGCTCAGGTATATTTTCAGTTTATCCCCTTATAGCTTACCATGATTAATTGCCAAAACTTTTCTACTATTCATCTTCACAAAATTTCCAAGGGGGAGCTGTGCATGATCAATTCCATGATCTGATGCTTGTTTATATGTGAGTCCCTAAAACAAAGACACTATAACTTGAACTAGAACATTAAATTATTTTAACTTTAAGTCTATGACAGAATAATTTTCAGAAAAGATTTTAGTTCAGAGAACATTATCTGAAGAAGAGAGAGAGAGAGAGAGAGAGAGTGTGTGTGTGTGTGTGTGTGTCTGCTAATTTGGAAATATTCCCTTGACAGTAAATACAGACAGAATGTTTAGGGTATTTGTTTTAATCCATTTACAAGTGAGAAAACCAAAGACATTATGTTCCCTGCCCTGTCACAAAGCTCCTCAGTGGCAGAACCACAGGAAAAACCTGACTCATGCCTCCCGGCCCAATACCTTTTCACCATTCCACACTGCCTTTCTCTCAGTTTAAAATACTCAAACTCAATTCTTAGAAAAGCACCATCACTTCTGCATTTCCCATGAATGCAAAAGATATACAGATAAAACTATGTTTCAATTACATAATACTGAGGCACAAATGACAAAATTACATGAAAACCTGAACTGAAAAAAATGTTTAAATTGCCTATAAATTTAATTTTTCCTGTCAATTAAAAGAATGTTGAACATGAATTTTCTCTTTTCTCAAACTTAAAATTCTTAAAGCCCGTCTGAAACCAGAACTGAAATAACCAAAACAGAGTACAGGAGAAAAAAAAGCTAATTTTCTCAACCAGTAGTTTACATATTTTAGGGACGAATAATTAATAATAGATTGAGGCATGTGCTTTCGAAAACAAAATTGTTTTAGTTCACAGAAACATACATGAAAGAAAAAAAATATTCTACATAAATAATAAAATAGAATTTTCCCACTAGGAAAAAAATAAAAAGGCTAAAGATCATTCTGATAAAATTCCCTCTGATGCTACAGAGATTCACTGTCCAACTATAGTCGCATGTGACTACTTAAATTTAAAGCGATTACAATTTTAAAAAATTCCATTTCTCAATTATACTGCACACATTTCATGTGCTCAACAGCCACAGGGCTGCCGCACTGGACAGATGATAGAAACATCTCCAGCACTGCAAGGAGTTCTACTACACAGTGGTGCTATACAAGAACAATGAAGTACTTCACATTATTTTGCTGACAATATTTCCTCAGACACTTAGTAAACATGTTTTTTCTTTAGTTGGGTTGAATTTAGACATTGCAAAGTAGCTGACAAAGTACACTATTATGTTTTCTATCAGAAAGTATATTTCTGTAATTCTTCATTCAAATGAGGATAAGGAAGTAGAAAGAGACAAAAGTGGAAATGTTAAAGAACAGAAAGCATATCCCATGAAAATCGCATATTTAAAATATAAATGTACCAGTTTTGTTATAAATTTTACCCGTGGCCTAGAAATTTATTAGCAGCAGCATCTTCTATCAATACAACATAGCGTTGAGCATATGGGCTCGGGAAAACTCTGCGAGGTTTCAAATATCTGTTTTACCACCCACTACTATTGATTTTACACTTCATTTCTCTAGGCCTCCAGTTCCTCATCTGCGAATGTTGATAATAATAGCACTGACCTCACTGGTTTATAATGAGGATTAAGCACACTAATAAATGTGAAATGTTCTGCTTAGCCAGAAGGATGACTGAAATATAGTAGACACTCAATAGAGATTAGTTATCATCAGTATTATTGTTACTATCAAGAAGATTATTGTTACTATTGAGAAAATTGATTTATCAATTTTAGATACAAGCAAAAAAAATAAATAAATGAAAACAATGGTACCTTGTGATGGTTGTGATCTACTAATCCTCCAATTACATAAGCTTTTGATTCATCTAATTCCTTCAGTACATTAGGTGAATCAGATGTAAGATAAATCAGATCTTCTTTCTTTATAAATGCACTATAATGCTCTGGTTTAATGTGGATATCCTTTAAGATACATGGGGAAAGATGTTATTAATTAATAAAATTTTGTGAAGATTGGCTAATAATCATTTTGAAAGGAAGTGAATCATATGAAATTTGAAAGAATGTCATTACAATGTATTTTTTATAAGCTACTACTAAAAACTCCTTATCACCTCACATCTCAATTATTTAAATAGCTTCCCAATGTTATTTATCTGTGTCTAGCCTCAGATTACCCAATTTATTTCCATACACCAATGGTAGACTCATTTTCTACAAATACTACTTTTAATGTTTTATCTTTATAGGATAAAATTCAAACTCCTTAACTTTGTAACTTTCCTGGATATGGCACTAACCTACCTTTCTAACTTTATCTGTTCCAATGAAACAAATGCCTTTTGTTGCATATTTGCTCACATTGTTTTCTAGCCAAAGAATGCCTTTTTCAAATTACTTCCTCTCCATCTATATGAATCATCAAAGGGAAATGGCTTATAGATTTAATAAATTCCATGTCTCTGTTTCTACACAGATACACATCTGAAATCTTCTTCACCAAAACTGTTAGGTCATAGATACAAAATTGAACAGCTGGCAGTCAGAATTTTGCAAACTACATTGATGGTATAAGGCTCAGATGACATTTACCCAACAATTTTGAAGGAAATAAAAAGTGAAGCGGGAGACTTCTCACCTAAAATGTATAACCTATTAATAAACAGTTGCTTTTCTGTAAAATGTTATAAATTTGACACCTACGCTTAATAAAGGCTCCGAGAGGGACCTGAAATTAGAGACCAGAGAACTTGTGTCTCTCTGGAAAGCTGGTGGCAGAAATAATAAATTTAACAGGCCACGAAATAACTAAAAGTATACCTACTCTAACTTATTATATTACTTCTTAGGAAAATAGGCATGATCATAAAACTTGGTAAGTATATTGTACTTTATTACTTTAAAATACCTTTAAAATGTTTCACATTATAGGCTATAATATAAATGTAGTCATTATGGGATTAGTGAGTATGAGAGAAAAAGTCTGTTACAGTGAGAACTGGCTTTTAGAAAGAAAAAGGACAGAAATAATCCAGTACTCTGACTAAAATAGGGTTCCTCAGTGACTGGTACTAATGCCAATCTATTAGTCATCTCTGCAAATGACTGAGAATGATTTAGTCTCACTAAAAAAAATTGTGAGCCACACATGTAATTTTAAATCCTCTGGTAGTCACATTAAAAAAGTGTAAATAAGTGGCATTAATTTTAATAATACATTGTATTCAACACAATATACCTGCCATGTCATCATTTCAACATGTAATAAATATTTTTTAAAATTTCAAGGAGATATTTTACATTCTTTTTTTGTACTAAGTCTTTGAAATCCAGTGTATGTTACACTTTTATAGTACATCTCATTTCAGACCAGTCATATTTCAAGAGTTCAATAGCCACATGTGGATAACGGACACCAAATGGGAGAGTGCAGATTTAAAATAAACAGAATGCAAGCATACTCCCAGATTTTAGAGTGATTTCACTCCTATAAATAATGTATAACTAGTTTTCTAAGTAGACATTGTATAAAAACCTTTAACATCTTTCTTTTTTAAAAAAATATGTTTTAAGGTTGGCAGCAAAATAGCAAGTGAGTTTTAATGAGAACAATACAAACTAACAGACATCTCAATCTCTTTAGCTTCTCTCATTCTTAACTTTAGACTAGTACAGGGATACAAAGGTTTGGTGACTGAAGATTCCTGTATTAGCATTATGTAGAACTTAAGTAAAAAATGTAGACCTTCAAGCATAAAAATACTTGGAATTATGGGAGAGTTAATCTATTTTAATTACCTTCCAGTTGACCCATCCTTTGTCATTTTCATCCATGTTCTTTTTCAACTGGCCTCCATGGCTTGTCAAGTAAAACTGATGGAGATTTGGAGGCATAGAAAGAGAGAGCAAATAATAAAGTACAATATTTTATTTCCCTCATACACTCATCTGATCACCAATGAAACACATCATTTTCATTCTAGAAAAAAATAAATTTGTGACATACTTTAAACATGCAAGAATAAATCTGTGGTAGAAATGACATATTTTGTGCATCTCATAACTAACTTCCTTATTCCATCTATATATTTATCCTACTTTTCAAGCAGCTATAATCTGCCTCTCCCCTAATGATCACTTTCTTACAAATCCCATTTCCATGTCAAATTTCATTCCCTTCTTGTTGCCACAACCGCTATTTTTACCAGTCCAAAGTCTTCATAATTTTTCTTTGATTCTAAACTCTGACACTTATTTCAAGTCTAATCAGGGGTGAGAAGAATATGAAATATAAGAATATAAAATTACTATCACTTCATAAAAAGAAAATCTCTAACAAAAAATATAGTAAGTTTCTGGTTTTCAACATCAGTGAACCAGTGTTAATTTTTATGTCACCTAGAATTTGAATTCAAGTAGAAAAAAGACCCTACTCTTAACAGCAGGCAGCTAGTCTCACAAAGTACTCCTTCACTCTAAGGAAGTACTTTTCAAAATTATCAATGACTCGAAATCCTATAAGTAGGAAACCACAGCACACATCAGGGACCACAGCACACATCAGGCAGGGAAGAAAGAAGAGCTGAGAAACGCATGAAAATGTGTATATCCTTTAATGAAGATGTTCAACTATACAGCAACGAGAGGGTTAGTGTGCGCAAGACTGATGATAACTGGGCTATGTTTGACAATGACATAGGTGAAAAAATGTTTAAAATATTTTACTTTATTTTTGTAGAAAAATAAAACATGTTTCGAACAGGCATTTTGTTCTCTAAGGAAGATTATTTGTAAGACTCTTGTAAACGTGGTCAGGATTACCTGTGTCTTTTCCCAAGGAAGATCTAAAAAAAAAAAAAAAAAAAATGGAATCCATTTTAAATTCTTCAAACATACCTGTACAGGATGCGGTGCTCGTCGATTTTCTGCATAACATCGTTGAATCTGCTTATGAAGTTTTTTAATGTCCTATAAAAGAGTACAATTTTTAAAGTAGCATTTTTGAAATTGTCTGTGGCCATTTCACAATCCTAGTGGACTAGAATAAACAGAAGGGATGACTAGACAGGTACATTGTTTTAGCTCGAAGTACAAGTCCTTTCTGATAACTTCCTTTCAATTTCCTTACATACTAACAAAATAATTACTATAAGTAAAATCAATACTCTGTAATCGAACCATTATTTTGTATTTTGTATCCACTTAAAATGCTAGTTTATGAAAATATTCACTCTTACTAAGAGTCAGCAGATGAAAAAATTCTTTTAGAGCCACACTATTACTATTTTCATAATTTGCCAATGGTTTGGAAAGTAATTAAAACCATGTTCTCTTCACTAGCATTGTTCAAACAATCAGGTTTCTCAAACTATTAAATAAGTAATAATTCTCTTAGGCCAGTCATATTTCTTATTTTCTTATTTTTGATTAGGAAAAATAACAAAAACACTGTTTACGATTAACATGTAGTTACTGAGTTTTATAATCTAATTACAGTGTGTGTCTCTCCTATTGTCTATATATATATATATATGTGTATATATATTTAATATATATACACACATATATATATATACATATATACATAAGCAATTTTTTAGATCATTTAATTTAGGGGGCACAGATTTTGAAAATCTTGATTTAAGCTGCATTTTAGTACATAAATTTCTATCAAAGTCATACTATATATTAAAGTAAGAATCATTCGGCTTAGTTCACCTACAGGATTTTTCTGACAATGATTCATGATACCTTTAATACCATCAAGCTGTCAAAACTACAGTCAATAATGAGGCGAAGTGTGCTGTGAACAACATCTCTTCGAATACGTTTCCTGTCATTTCCATCAGAGTTTGATTCCATTTGACACTGTCGCTCTAACTGCTTTCTCTTACGTTTTTCCTTCCGCTTTTGTCTAAAAGTAGAAATTGAAATAACTGTTGCTATTTGTTTATTCAGATATTTACAAGACTTCTAAATAGACATCTTTTTAAAATTTGAATCATATGAAATTGCCACTTATATGGATCAAACCTGGTCAAATATCCGCAATTTTATATAGTCTATCTAAAAGATATAGATAGGAAGGAAATGAGTTTGTAAATACAATATAACGCTTTCTACATAAATCTTAACTATACTACTAATAAATTCATTTATTATTGGTATCACGCTATGCTAAGAAAACTTGTACGATTTGAGAATTATGATAAATTTTACCTTTATCGCTCTTCCCGTACATGATTTTCAAGCAACATTTATATGGTTTAGGAAAACAAGCAACATAAAACAGTGAGTGGGGAAAAAAAAACATCTCATACACTTTTCTCCTCATCTCCATCAACTATAGTTTATTTTCTACCACTAAATTTTGGCATTATACAATAACAGCTTCATCCTAACTGTTCTTGACAAAACCTGCAATATTTCTTCCAGCAAAATCAATGTTAGGCCCAAATCTGATCTTTCTGACATAGTTATTTTTATTCATATCTAGGACATAGATGCTAATTATATCCCTTTCCTAAGTCAATTGTTTCAGAAATCGTGCTGTTACTCACAATAGATTCTGGGTGAGAAAACGTGTATAGTACAAATTCATTCACTGCTAAAAAAAAAAAAATCAAAACAGTTTTAACAGCCAACTGACAGTGTTAAGCAAACTATGCATAGCTCCCATTTTAATTAACACAATTACTTTTAATGTATCAAAGGACTATGAAAGATCCAACATTCCGTATTTTTGAACAGGGACAGGATATATATATTTCAAAACATACTTGCGGAGTTCTCGTTGTTCTTCCCATTGTTTCTGTTTTATTAGCTTCTTCCTTTGTCGTTTAGATATTGGTTCAAAGTCTTTACTTAATCTTGGTTTCTGGCTCTCTTGATCTTCACTTAAGTCTTGCTTTCTTTCAACATTAGAAGTCTCAACAAATGCTGGTAACATTTCAGATGACATTTGATGCCTCTGAAAGGCAACTTTGACATGAATAGATGTTTCACAGACACACAAAAAAGTAAAAAAAAGAAATGATGAATAGATGTGATTAAAATTAAACCGTATCAGTAATGAGTAAAAATGCAAATTTAGAAAATTAAATATCATTTACCAGCAAAGATCATGTGATGAAATGGAGTGATTTTATAAACTATTGGTGGTCATGACACAATTTTTCCAGAAGGCTACACTGATCTATATGTTTCAAGAGCTTTAAAATGTTGATACCCTTTGACTTAATAATTTATTTCCTTAGAATGTCTGTAAATGAATCAGAAATATACATAAAATGCTAAAGGGTATAATGTAGTCTCCCCTTATCTTTGGGAGATACATTCCATGATCCCCAGTAGAGGCCTGAAAAGGCAGATAGTACCAAACTATCAAACCCTATATATACTATGTTTCTTTCTATACATATTATATACCTATGATAAAGTTTAATTTATAAATTAGGCACAGTTAAGAGTTTAAATGCAATAACTAATAAAATAGAACACTTATAACTAATATAAGTTATTTAAATGTGGTCTAACCCATTTATATTTTCGGACTGTGGTTGACCTCAGATAACTGAAACCATTTTATTCATTTTCTAAATTTTATATAATAAAAATGTATTATAAAATATTTTATATATTTTTTAAAAAGAGATGAAAAGCACTTTAATGCTACAGTATGAGGGAGATGTTACTTTCATTAACTGGATGTACACTCACAACTAGTTTTTGACAAAAGATGTTCTTTTGGAAAATGATTCATATATTTTGGAAAATGCAGAAAATAAATTTGGTTGCCCCCTCCTATATATTTCATTGTAAATATATAATTGTAAATATTCTACTTTAGTCATGGCTAAACGACAAAATATATATGTTGATTCTGTAACCACTTATGGAATGCTTAAGGCCATCTCTAACATCTTTATGTGATTTTAAGCACCCATATATATATATATCTATTGCCTAGAACTTAATTGGCCTTCAGATTAAAGGGCTAGAAATGCTGAGATTTCTTTTCTCTTTAAAAGATTATTAACACCAAAGTGTTAAAATATATTTACTTTTTATCCCTACCAAAGACTATGCATAAAGCTTACAAATGTTCTATTGGCCTTAAAGAAAATTCTGATTCCCCCTTCATGCAGAAACAGCTAACAAGTCTATGCAGAAAAGCTAGTATCTAAAAGAAGAAAGAAAAATCTCCACAATTCAGATAATAGAAAGACAAAACCTTTGAACATAACTTAAGCAGTAGTTTTATAATATGGTTCTTGCTTTCTTTAAAAGTGCAATGTTGTAACAGGACATATGGGGATAACTAAGCAAACCTAGAAAGCTTACCAAATTATGACTGAAAGACAGGAAATTTTAAGGTGTGTGCTTTGGGGCCACAGCAAAAGCTCTGGTATTTTACTAGGTTACAAAATTACTAAGAAGGAGAAAGGATCATCTAGTAAATGAAGTAAGAGTTCACAAGTCTTCTTTATAACACTAACCAAACAGTATCCTTAGTAAAATGGGGAAATACCTCCTAGATATGACGACCAAATCTGATTCTCCACTGGAAACTCCATACAGACAGGGATGATGTTTGCTTTTGCTCAACTATTATACTGTCAGTACTAACACTGTGCCTGGCACTTAGTAGATACTTATTATATATTGGTGGAATAAATGAGTGAAAATGATATTACAAAGGATTTTAAAAATGAAAATGGTAATGGCAAACATTAATTTTAAATTACTTAATAAAAAAAAAATCTAATTTAATCCCTAAAACAACCCTGTGAGGTAGACAGTATTATGCCACTTTACAAAGGAAGAAAGCACAGTGAAGTTAAATAACTTGCCCCAAATTGCAAAGCAACTAAACAATTCCTAAGAAACAATGTACCTAGAACAAATTTAGCACAGAGTAGGTCCTTAAAACGCTTCTTGAATGAACAAAGATTTAAATCCATATCTAACTCTACTTTCTCCCAGAAACCCAAAATCTTATTTAGGACATGAGGGTTTCCAAAGAATGTAAAAGAGCTATGCTGCTTCAACTCTGCTGTTGGAGGGCTCTGAGATCTGTGTCATTGAAAGGTAAGGAAAAAAAAAAAATAGCTCCGGTTTTATTCCTATGCCACTGAATCAAAAAAATTGGGACAGACTTCTAAGAGATGGTTGCCAAAAATTCATGTTTTGAGGCATCCTGTCTCTCACTCATGAATACATGACACAGTAAATAAACTATAAAAAGGGGAAACAAAAAAGGTATCGCTTCTCTCAAAACCCCAAACGAGAAATAGAATAGATATTGTTCCTGCTGGGCCTGCTGTGCAAAGACAGCTGAGAGTTTCCCTAGCTTTAAAGTAGGGAGAATAAAAATAATACAAGACAGAGGATGGGAGAGAGGTGTGAGACAGTTTAAGATGAAACCTTAACCTAGTATTGGGGGTGGTGTTCCTCCTTCCATGTAAAAAGCCTGGAAACAGGTAAAAGGAGACAATGGCTTATACGAACATGAGTACTTGAGAGAAACTTGAAGGAAGCAGACCCAGCACTACGACCTGGGCCAAGCCACTAAAGTGACATATGAACTTAAAACACTACATGATTGAAATTCTGAATCACTTATATAAGCTCTACTGTGGACTGAGGCAGAACAGGGTCATGAGTTGGGAGCAACCACAAAATCAGTAGTAGATAGAGAGGTGGTTTGGAGAAAGAAATGATTTTAAAAGACAACAACAAAATCAACAATCAGGAGATAAATTCATTAAACATAAATTAAAAATAATAGGATGATGTGAAAATAATTTTAAAATTAATTTGGTTGGAATCTTTCAGAGATCATAAAGAGTAAGGACCATAAAATGAAACAGGGCATTGAAACACAAAAGCAAGCATAATAAAAGCAAGCATAATAAAAGCAAAACAGCAATCCATGAAAAAAAATCAATTTGGAAATCAGGAAATGAAGATATAAAAATTGCAATATATGAGACAAATTCCAGATAACCTGGAGTCCAAGAGATAACTGATGGATTAGAAGGTAGCCTGATAATCTGACTCAGAAATAGAACAAAAAATGACATTAGAACAGTTAAAAGACTTGAATGATAGAGTGAGAGAAATACAGGCAAAAAGGTAATTGGAGATAAATGTATAACCCTGAGTGTACTCATTAATATATTTTTTTTAAGTTGGAAAACAAAGTAAGCATTCAACTTAAGAAATAGGAGACAAAGAACACCCAGTAAACGTGAAAAGATCAGAAGAAAATTTTAAAATAAATGTTATAATCCCCGAGATCACTTTAATTTTACCTCATTTCCATAGATAGTGCATTAAATAAAAATCAGCAATGCACGTATCCAAAACAATATAGGGTGGAGAAAACATAAGCTAAACCTACCCATTACTCTGAATATCCAAACTTAACAATTAAAGTTCATAGGAAACAAAGTGCTCTCTTCATGAAACAATAACATTTTAAAAGAGAGTATTTCCAATCATCATTGGTATCATTTTTTGCTACTTCTCTATTATGTTCAAAACTGCAAGTGTTGCCTGGCTCTACGTGAAAATTTAAAACCTTAATGCATAGCAATGTTTTACAGCTCACGTACACCAGGGGGAGCTTTTGCCTTTCCTATCCAAGAAGTCAGTTAAATTTAACTTGGCCTATCATTGCATACTAATGTTTTTAAACAACCTATCAAATACAAAGCAAAGTCACAAGCTAGTCAACATCATTATCATTATTATTTTTAAAGCTCTTCCTAATTAAGAAAATGTTGTGTAGTAAGTGTATTTTTTAAAGCTTTGATTCAGCTAGATATATTGAGGCATGAAATACAACCAAGTGATGCTAGCTTGAGATACTATGCATTATTGCTTACAGCACTTTACATACAAGGATATGTACCAACTCCCACTGCCTATACCATACATTAAGCTGTTCACTATGTACGAACTTGTTCGGATTACCAGTTAAGCAAAAATGGGGCATTTTACTAGGCGTACTAGCTTTCTTATTTTAATTTTGACCAGTTTATAAACTCCGGTTTATAAGCAGAGATTTTTGCCTTCCTCCCTCACACGCAGTGACGCTCCCACAGTACATTTTCATTCATTCAATCATGTTCATATTTAAGAACATTTTGTAGCAATTATATAAATATTTGTACGAAATTCAGTTCAGCATATAATTTTAAAAATGGTTCATTTAGTAACAGAAATAGGTTACCAGGTTGTCTTATAAAACTAAGAACTGGATAAAGATGACTAAGGCCATTTGGTGTAGGATGCATACATTAAGAAGTATTTTGGTATTCCTTGTATTTCCACTTAGCACAGATGGCAGCAGGGGAAAAAAAAACTTTCATGGATTTTATTTATTCGGTTAAAATCTTCTTAAGTTACGACTCATATTCCCTTCCAGAAAGATCCAAACGAATGGTGGAATATCTACAGACTGGAATCAAATGACCTGACAGCAGGTTTTAAAAGGAAAAATGTGCCGGCAAAATGTGCAGTAGAGAAAGCGCTTGGTTCGGCTGCCAAGCCCTTTGGGCGGAGGGTTGAGCTGGGATAGGGAGAGAATAGGATTGAAAACACAAACAAAAAGTAAGAAAATCATCTGTGGGTATCTCCTTCTTAGCTCTCTATAAATGCCCGAATTTTAACACTTTAAATATTTCAGTGAAATCGGTCTTCTTAAAGTCGTCCTCAGCTCACCACCACGGGGCCTAACAGCACTTGCAACTTTCTCTCGTGCTCTCTATATTTGAGAGTGCTCAGCTACGTCAGCCCCATGTCGGAGAAATGAGATAAAGCAGATTTAAAGCGACTTGCCCACGGTCTCTAGCCACCAAGTGGCAGAACCACAACTCGTTTCCGACCCTTCAGAGTCCAGATTTCCCTTTCCCTTCGTTCTTTGGAAACACACTCTTCACACACTAGGGACCGGATCCCGACCCCCATACCGACATCGACAGCCAGCAACCCTCCGCCGGTGGGCAGAACCTCTACCCACTCTGCCCCTAAGTGACTCGAGGGGCACCGGCGAACGCACTACAGAGGCTGGATTAAGGGCAGCCAGCCAATCAAGGAGCTGCGTGGCGGGAGGCGGAAGCGCGCTGTGATGTCACTTCCTCAGGAAACAGGGTCGCGGCTGCCACTTCCAAAGCCCCACTCCCCTCGTGCCCGGAAGCTCTTGTTGCTGATTGAGGGCGGCACTGACACGCGCCCCTTTTGCGCCCGGTGGCTAACAAAGGGTAGGCGAACCCCAGCCTCAGCTTCCAGGAAACTTACAGAGCTGAGGAGTTGTCGGAGAACCTGAGAGCACGCGCAGAAAGCCTTTGTAGAGCGGTCTCGATACCGCTCACGAGTCTTCCTTCCGAGACTTCAACTCCCAGAGGCAGGGACGGTAGCTACACGTAGGAGGATATGGCGGTTACGCTTACGTCATGTAACTGCGCCAACTCCGCACCCGCAGTGGGAGAAAGGGGAGGGAGTTAATTTGGGGCGGGGTCAGGAGTTAGGGTATTTGGAGTGGAAGGTGATCTGTTTTTCCACTTAAAGGCACGTGTGTCTCTGCGGTTCTGTATTCGTATATTCCTGTGGGGATGTTGAAGGCGGGTTAAGACATTTATACTCTTAAAAATTAAAAACGCGAAACAAGGACTCAGTTCTTTTGTGCTAGAGATGAGAGGAGAGCAAGAGTGCCTAACTATAATTTATACAGAAGAATGTCAGCATCACATGATTTTACACAATACACAGTTCAAATGGAAAATCAAATTAAAACAGTGAAATTCCTAGTAATACATTTTAATCTAGAATATTTAAGCCTTTTTTCTTGCTTACAACCGGAAATCTTACTCTCCATTCTTGAGTTGTTTTTTCCTATGCTGTTTTACAAAACAAGTGATATTTCATATTTTATATACTTGACCTTATGTAATCTTTTTTTGCTACATAGAGCAAGTCAACGGGAGGGAGAACTGAAAGAATCCTGTACATTGTCATTTTCTGGTTAGTTTTCTTATTTGGTTCTTTTATTGCAGAATTTGAAGATAAGCATAAACTGTCAGTATGGAAACAGTTCTGAAGTAAATTATTCCTGATATTTTAAAACGTATTTGAACGTGTTTAAAGGTTTCAATAAATAAAAATTAAATTCAGAATTTCAGTTTTCTAAAATAATTGAAATTTGTCTAAACTTAGTCACAAAAATGAATTCACTCTTGCTTTAAACCTTTAAATATGTTTCGAAAAACTGAACTGTAAATCTTTTGTGGGACTGTTTCTTCCTCATCACAAATCTAAAAGATCTCTGAACATTGTATCCGTTTCTGATTTGTTAGTAGGGCATCTTTTTTTCAGCTGTCGCCATATCAGGGCAAAGAGTAGCTGAAAGGATTAGTAATTAGATACGAAGCCTTTCACATGTAGGTCATTAAACTCGGGCTGGCGTAGTGGTGTGTCATATCTTTCAACAGCTGTTCAGTTGCCTTTCTGGAATCTGTTTTATGAATAATTACATTTTTTTTTTCAGAGTTAATACCTGGCATCCTTAGGTATTTTTAAAAAATTAAGTTACTTTAAAAACTCTCATATTTTAATAGTTGAGTCAATAAGTTTTTTTTTTTTTTTCCACAATGCCATTTCACTTTATGGTCATGGTGCAACCCAAAGCAAGCAAGCACCTAAAAAATACCAGCAAAAAAAAAAAGAAAAGTATGTGCGTGTGGGGGGGATGTGGGGGGTGGAAGATTTAACCAAAGATGGAAGCATATAAAAGGTATAGGGAAGTAAAATCATGATATGAAATAATCTTATTTTCATTGATTTGTAAAATTCATGTTTATTTGACAAATTTATTGAGTTCCATATTTTTTGTCTTAGTATTTGTAATACAAAGATAACTAAATCATGATTGTTGTCCTTAAGGAATCCCTAGTCTAGTAGGAGAACCAGCAGTAAATAAATACTATATACTATATAAGGTACTTGAGATGTTTGTACATGGAAAGGAGCAACTAAATGCTCCTGGAGGCAGGAGACATAGTTTCAAAAGTTGAATAAGTTTGCTCCATCTTAGAAAGTAAGTAGGAGTTTTCTAGATATGAAGATAGGAAAGGTATTTAAAATATCGGGAACAGTGAAAGCAAAGACATGTCATGGTTTGGCACATGACTGAAAAGCTCTGGGTAGGATTAGGAAGAAAGAAGAGAAAATAGCCCTGAAGATTTTTCTAATTTAGACAATTGTATGAATGTAATTGTGTTAACTGGGTTATTAAGAGAATAGTGAAAGAAAATTGGTCTTGAAAAAAATAGTTTGGTTTTGAATATGTGGATTCTGGGGAGTTGTCAGGACATCTAAGTAGAAATATTTAGAAATTATCACATATTTACTACTTAAAGTCATCATAAGAGGTTGAAATCAAAGAGATGTTAGTCCATGGTTATAAACCTATAATGGTTATGAGGACTAGAAAGTAACAAAAGAGAAAAGCTATCTGGGAGAAAAGTATAACAAACATGAGGGCACGTTCTCTAATCAGGGTACAAGTTCCAAGTAGGAATACGGGCCTACAGATATCAATTTTTTAAGAACAGCTAGAAATTGAACTTTTTTGTGAAACCTGGTTGTCAAGTGTTGTCAACAACTTTTTTTTTTTTAATAGTGAACAGGCTAAACAAAACATGTCTGTGAACCACATTCAGACAACTGGCAGCCAGTTTATTAAATTGGACTAGATTATAGAGTGAAAAGGGAGCTACAGATAGAACCAGAATCTTAGAACACAAAAACGTGGTAATAGATTTATGAGCTCCTCCAAATGTTTGGCCTGAGAACATTGGGCAATCATCACAAATTTAATTATTTTAAGCCTAATTCTGATATTAAGTCTGAGAGTACTCTTTAGCAAGTTGCGAGTGAGAAGATGTGGGAATAGAGTTGTGAATACAACTCTATTGTGAGTACAGTTGGCCTTCTGGATCTGCAGCTTCTGTATCCTCAGATTCAACTGAGGATGGAAACTATTGGGAAAAACATGTTATGTTGTTGCTGATGCTTACTTAGGTTTACAATGGTTGTGCTGTGCTGAACGTGTACAGACATTTTCCTTGTCATTATTCCTTAAGCAATACAGTATAACAGCTATTTACAGAGCATTTACATTGTATTAGGTATTGTAAGTAATCTAGGGATGATTTAAAGAACATGGGAGGATGTGCATAGGTTATATGAGAATGCTACACCATTATATATAAGGGACTGGAGCATCTGTGGATTTTGGTATCTGCAGGGAGCCCTGGAACCATGGATGCCAAGGACAACTGTACATTAATTTCAGGTTAAGGAAATCAAATATAAACTAATTTTTAAAATGACTTGAAACGTACCTAAAAGCTGAATCAACCTATCATCTAGAATAATTTCCATCTTACGTTTTGATTGATTTAAAAAATATAGGAAAAGTTTAAAATTTTTTAAAAATCCCTATTCACTCCTCCTAAGTAATAGGTAGATGTTGAAGACCCTAAAAAAATGACTATGGAGGTAGTATAGTTTGAATCTCCTCATAAAAACAGGTAGAGCATCTAAGATATCAAAACAACAATAATGACAACAAACACGTTATGGCCACAACATAACTAAGTGAAAAAAAATCCTTATAAAGCTCAAAATGTGAGTGAGTAGGAGCAAACCATCAACTTAACATCTGTGTAGGAGGAAATAGTGAGAAGGCAACATAGCATCTAAAGGCTATGAGAATAGGAGGACCCTAAAACTGCCAATAGGTATTCACTGAAAAGTAAGGGAGACCAATATGAGCAGCTGCAAAACTGGCAGGCTATAATTTCAGATTAAGTGCGAAGGGATGAGTGGAAAGGTCTGTAAGTGCTAGAGGGGTGTGGGACCTCTGCACTCTCAAAACTTAAACCTGATCTCCCTTGGACAAAGCCCAACACTAAGGAGAAACTTCTGAAAGTAGAATTCAAATTGAACAGAGACAATAGAGGCAAGGGAAAAAACAATGTCCAGGTAAACGTGGGAGAGAAGAGGAGACAGCTCAGAAATGACAAGGGTACATGGGTGTCACTTTATGAAAACATCAGAAAAAGAAGTTCTAGAACCATGAGGCTAGAAAAGCTATTCTACCTACTTTCCCCTCTTAAAAGTACAGAATAACATTTAGCCTAAAAATATACCACAAAAAAGGATTATAGTTGAATCCTATTAAAAATATTATAATAAAAATGAATATGAAAGAGGAAAAAAGCAGAAAAGTATAACCTAATATTTCAAAATGAGAAAATTTTTAAATATTATAAGATAGAACAACAAAAAAAACTCAGAAATATAGTTGGAGAAAAGATTTGAGGAGTGACAGAATGCAGAAAAGAATATGTAATGTAAAAAGTACACATATATATTTAACATCATACTGGAAATTCTAGCTAGTGCAATAAAAGAGGAAAAGGAATGATTGTCTATGTAAAGAAATCTCAAAAAATCAATAACAAAAAATCATCATGGAACTAAGAAGTGATTATAGAAAAGTCACAAGATACGAGGTTAACAAAAGTGAATTGATTTCCTATCAATAAACAATTGGAACTTAAAATTTAAAAAAGAAAATAGAACCCCCCCAAAAGAAATATTTATGTACAAATCTAACAAAACATTTACAATATCTGTATGAGGGAAACTACAAAACTCTGATGAAAGAAATAGAGATCTAAATAAATGAAGAGATATTCTACATTCATGGGTCGGGAGGACTCAATATTGTAGAAATAACACTCTGTGCCTAGATCTTTGTTTCTAATACCACTCTTCAATAAAAAGAACCAGAGCTCCTTGGAGAAATGACTGATTCTAAGTTTGGGGTGAAAATGTACAAGATTTGAAACTGGAGCATCTTGTAGTGCCAGAAATTAAGGAAATGCTTACACACACGGATAGGATATATTAAAGGAACACGAGCCAGCTGAAAGAGCTCCCAATGGTCATAGCTGGAACAGTTGTAGAAACAAATTAAAGTTGTATTGGCTTATAACTCAAAATATAAAATATTCATGAGTCCATACTGATATAAATAAATGGAGAAGAGAAAAATCTCTCATGCAGAGGAATGCCAAATAATTTATATAGATACTCCACCCTTAAGGAGAAGGAATATAACTCTCTACTTCTTAAGCATTGTCTGCACGTAATACTTTCCAAAGAGTATAGTATGGAAAAGAAAGTTAAAAAAAAGAGTAACTTTACAGAAACCTGACAACACTGCTTTGCCAGGTGATCAAGGTCAACATCAACAGTGATAAATCATGTTGATAGTCTGTACCTTTCATATGATGTGATGAAAATGGCACCTCTGTGGTCTTCCTCCCCCAAACCTATAAGCCCAGTCAAATCACAAGAAAAACGTCCCACAAATTCCAATACAAGAGCATCCTCCAAATAACTTATAGTCAAGAGGCACATAAGATTACATGACAACTAAATGTAATATTGTATCCTGGATGGCATCTTGGAATGAAAAAAAAAAATTAGATAAGAACTAAGGAAATCTAAAGTATGGGTGGTTTCTTAGTATTAACAAATCTACCACACTAATATAAGATACTAATAATAGGGGTAACTGGAAGCAAGCTGTATAAGAAATTTCTAGACTGTTTTTGTAAATAAAGTTTACAAAACTTTATTGACTGTTATTGATACATAAGGATTTTTCGATGGTCTGAAAAATGACTATCTTTTTTTGGGTGCCTTATATTCCAAATGTTTCAAACCCAAGTCTCAAGTTTACTCCTGTCAAGGAAAGGTAATTAATTAGTGGTTATTTATTTTCTCAAACAGAATTCTTAAACAATACCTTTAAAAAATAGTCTGTGTATTCTATAACTTTGCCATGGTATAAAACATTTCATCACATTATAAGAATATTCTTAATCTCACAAATATTTTTTCAGGATTCCTTGAAAATGCTAATTCTTTCACTGAATTGAAAATACTATTAGTTTTTCTTATGACCACTTAGGGATAATTTGAAGTGCCCCTCTAAAAAAATTTTTTTATCAATTCTTTCTAAGAACAGAGTGAAGTGTTCTGATGTTATAAAGACTTTTTTTTTCCTCTATAGTTACCACACATTCTGACTTACTATATCTATATCTTGTAGGGTAATACATTTTCTTCCAGCCTTTAATGGGGTGAAATTCATTTATCTTATAATTCAAGGAAAATGAGTTAATTCCTAACAACCTCTGATACTGAACAGAAACACAACTGTACTTTGGAATTAATCATCAACCTTTATTTCAGAGTCTCTTATTTATCACTGAAAAATAGTGATATAGCAAGTATTCCACAGTGCTGTGTACTACCACTGGAATTACATTGCAATAGTATTGTTTTAAAATCTATTATTTGGTTTTGACCTGGTTAGCACAGATCAACTTGTCCTCCTGTAAGTTCAGCCCAGAACATCTAACTGCCAACAACCAAGTGCTCTGTTAGCCTCCATACAAAATTGTGATAGACTTATTAAAGGACAGTCCCAATTAATAATTCTATGTTATCCATAAGAAATCATTTTTTTCCACTTTCTATCTCTAATATTTTTTTTATTAAAGGAGAATATTGGGTCGAGTTTTCAAGATTTGTTTTTCTTAAATCATTTCACTAAATTAACCTGAGCCCCATTTTTCTAATATGTAAAATGATTTTTCTTAGGATATACTATAAAAAAATGTACAGTGTATTGTAATATAGTGTATTGTAAATAGTAATTGTTCCATAGATGGCAGCTCCTGTTTTTTTTATACTGTGCTGTGCTTCTGTCTTGCTTCTCATGCCATGTAAAATAGGCATGATCAACAGAGCAAAAAAGGAAAATGCCTCTTTGGTATACAAAATTCACTGAATATGGAAAGAGTTTGGCATTTTTATTTCATCTCTGGTGGAGCAATCCTGTCTTTCGAATGTCTTTGTGAAAAAAAAGGTATAAACAAAATATAAAAGGGTGATGTTATTTATTACCAACAGAAGCAGCCTTATTTGAACAATCTATGATGAAATGACTAATACAGTGACTTATAGGAGCTTTCTAGTAGAAAGCAAATGCTCAAGTGAAACAACATGTATTTTACTGAGCAATAGTAATATGCCTTTTATTGGTTGGACTCTGGCAAACACCTAACAACGAATGGTACTTTACCCGAAGAGACACGTATAATGCACTGCTTAGTCTAACTACAAACATTAAAGGTCTGTGCATCTGTGAGCCTCAAATGGAAATACAAAAGACAGTACTCATAGATTCAAACTAGTCCTTAATTTAAATAAGTATGCAAAATTTAAGTAATTATATGACTTCATGTCCCTATGTATGGAGTACAGAAATTATGGAAATGTAGAAATCTATTCAAATGTAAAGCAATAAAGAACTTTTATATTGCCTTCTATTTACAGTACCTATTTTTTATAAAAATGTACATTTCTTCAACAAAAGTATTTTTCTAAAAATAGTCTTTTTTTTTTTTACCCTGGGAAAATTTATTATTTATAACTTTAGGATGACAGTCACAACCAAACATTTTATTTTTTTATAGGTACTTTAGCTATAATTTGTATATAAAACTTATGATAGCAAATGAAATTCTAATCTCAATGGATGACAAAGACAAACAATTTTCATCTTTCGGTTCTTTATATAAACTTAGGAAATTTTTAAAATTTTATTTCATTTTGTGGCCCTAGCTGGGTTGTCTAAATTTAAGCTTAAGATGAGATTCTAGAAAAGAGTTTTAAGTAAGGTGAGGGTAGATTTAAGAATCCATTTTATACTTAAACATGGCCTTCGGTATTTTCAAATTCATTCAAATAACCCTTTACTGGCACTTTATTCCCTCCTTTGCCAAAATAACCCCGCATGCCACCCAAATCCCTCCTTTTAGTAGGTTTTGTTCATATCAGGTCTCCCTCATGGGAATTTATGAGGATAAGAGTTGGTTCAGTTAGCATGGCCTTAGCCATACTAGGGTATTTGCTTTAATTCTATAGACATTTCCTAGTTAATTTTCTGTAGCAAAAAGCCTGGAATTCCACTTCTGAATCTCTTCCTAGAAAGGGGATTCAGAAAACACAGGGCACTCCATCCAGCCAATTTGGGGAGTCTGACAACTGTTTCTTGTCATTGACATAGCTAGACGTCTACTATGAGGTATATGAATAC